TTAGGGATGTCCTCCTGAGAACTCTTACAGATTCCATCATACTTTCTTAGTATAAGGATGGGGAACCTCTGGATTGGGAGTGAAATGTGGCCCTCCAGAGTTCTCTATCTGGCCCCTGGGTCTCTCCCCAGGAGGCATACTTTCCCTAGTTACATACCTCATCATCATGGCTTTGTAGCCTCCTGGAATATTTTTGCCTGGTTGGATTATCAGTAATATATGCAATATATATATATATATATAGGTACAAAGGTAAATGACCCCTGGACGGTTAAGTCCAGTCAAAGGCGACTATGGGGTTGCAGCGCTCATCTCGCTTTCAGGCTGTGGGAGCCGGTGTTTGTCCACAGACAGCTTTCCATTTCATGTGGCCAGGAGGACTAAACTGCTTCTGGTGCAACGGGACACCGTGGCGGAAACCAGAGAGCATGGAAACACTGTTTACCTTCCTGCCACATTGGTACCTATTTATCTACTTGCGCTAGTATGCTTTCGAACTGCTAGGTTGGCAGAAGCTGGGACAGAGCAACAGGATCTCATTCCATCACGGGGATTTGAACCGCCGACCTTCTGATCGGCAAGCCCAAGAGGCTCAGTGGTTTAGACCACAGCACCACCTGCTGTGGAGACCTATAACATTGTGGCCTCCGACTCCCCACAGCTGCTAAAGCAGGGGTGACTAAAGGACGCTCATGCCCTGAGGGGAATAGAGAAGAAGCAGAAACAGCATTTTTTCCCTAAACAAACAAGTTGTCTTATCCATTCTGTTACAGCTTTTATTTTCTTTTTTTAAAAAAGTGATGCCTATGGTTATAATAATCTCCTGCAAAACGCTTAGTGAGGTCTGCCTGAAAAGCGAAATGCAGTTGCTGTAAATAAATAAACAATATTCCCTTTACACGGCTGCAGTTCCCAACGTTGCCTGGGAACAGGGATTAATGCTTCCATCTGAAACGGTCGCTCTGCTGCGAGGAACAGGGTGGGTGTCTCCTAACCACTCTCAGCACCTTTAACAAACCACAGCTCTCAGAATTCTTTTGGGGAAGCCAAGACTACATAAAGTGACATAATATTGCATTGAATGCATAGTGCAAATGGGGCCTCGCATGTGCCATTCCTTAAGCAATATTCGTTTCCTCAGCCAACATTGTGGGGATGGGGCGTTCGTCTGCAGGAAGGTTAAGAAAGCCCACCTGCACTCTAAATTTCTATCAATTGTCACTCAATAGCTTTCTGCTAGTTTCATCCTTCAGGGCATTTTCAGGTACAAAAAAAGGACCATTCAGAAGAGCTGTCATAAAGGAAAGCAAAGGGCATTATGTTTTGGCAAAAGCGCCCGCTTTTCAGAGAAGATAAGCTTGTTTTGACTTTTGTATCCTCCAAAGACCAGTGGCAAAATCTATGATGGTAGCGATGTGCCGCAGCCCTCTGCAATCTGTTTCCTTGTTGTGTTCTCAATACGCAGCGTAATAGACAAGTTTATTTACAACGCCTCCCCCTAGGCTGCACCGCGGAGAGGATCAAAACTCTGCGCCTAAAGCAGCTGCAGCCAAGGTTCTGTACTTTGGTAAGGTTGTGATATTCTGTCTGATTGATGCAGCGACCTTTGCGGACCTCATTCTATTTCTGCTCAGGTGAGAAAAGGGCCTGATCTGTGCAGGCCGCCCAAAGAGGTGGGCAAGAGGTGATCAAAGTTCTGAGGCTATAGAACGGGCTGTACCGTTGCATCAAATGGTACAGAAAGTTATAACAGCAGAATGCTTTCTCCTTATCTTAGAATACATCTAACACTTGGTCTGCCCAAATGGAACGAATGAGTGGGTGGCAGAATGGAATCTTGTCTTTTCAGTGTGTGGATGAAGGTCCCATATTTGAGCATTCCCTACAAGAGGGGGAAATTAAATGAGCACAACATTCAGATGAAGGGTAGTATAGAAATTGAATGAATGAATGAATGAGTTTGCAATGCAACTCTCCAGCAAATTAATGTGCAGAAAAATGCATCCTAGGGTAAAGTGTTAATAAAATGCATCTCTTAGTGAATAGAGCATGTGCAAGATACATTATATAAAGGAAAAGGTAAAGGTAAAAGGTAAAGGTACCCCTGCCCATACGGGCCAGTCTTGCCAGACTCTAGGGTTGTGCGCTCATCTCACTCTAAAGGCTGGGAGCCAGCGCTGTCCGAAGACACTTCCGGGTCACGTGGCCAGCGTGACAAGCTGCATCTGGCGAGCCAGCGCAGCACACGGAACACCATTTACCTTCCCGCTGGTAAGCAGTCCCTATTTATCTACTTGCACCCGAGGGTGCTTTCAAACTGCTAGGTTGGCAGGCGCTGGGACCGAATGACGGGAGCGCACCCCGCCGCGGGGATTCGAACCGCCGACCTTTTGATCGGCAAGTCCTAGGTGCTGAGGCTTTAACCCACAGCGCCACCCGCATCCCATATAAAGGGAAATTGCATTGCAAAAAATGTGGGTGGCAGGGAAAATGGCAAAAAAAGATTATTAGGAGATATTGGCACTAAAACGCTGCCATGTTTTTGTGAAGACTGATGTGAAAATGTGGAAAACAGATCATTAGATTGGAAAAATGAGAAACTACAACAAACTGAGTTTCTATCTGTACTTATGACCTGAACTGGTCAGTGTTGATTTAAGCAGAGTCTTGGTGCCCAGCGGAAGGATGAGGAAAATGTGCTACATACTCTATATTGCTTTATTTACAGTTCAAAGCTGGTATATTACAGAAAGACATCTTGCCTCTGCAGGAGCAGAAAATGCATCCTCTCTCCTCGAGAGCTTGGAGAGAAAACACACAGTGAAAAACAGGAAACCAGTGTACGTCACATCCAGTCTCCCTTTCCCGTGAGAAACTCCAACAGTACAGACTGTGGAATGTAAACACCTGTCTTGTGACTGCAGTTGCTGCTCAGTGAAGGAAATAGAAACCAACATCCCCCCCTTTCTGTGAACATCACTGGGCAGCGTGTTTGCACAATATCAGTACAAACCCAACTTCTGCACATAGGTACAGTGTTGATCCCTTGATACAATCTTGGACAATACATCAGCAGGAATTTCATTACCTGGCATATAGGACACCGTTACGAGTCCCTTCTGAATACATTCCCTAGCATGCTGCAACTTTAATTGCAAGTGCTTTGTGCTTTGCTTACAACCTTCAGACTTCAGCAAAGCCAAACATGCTTTGTTGTCCTGGTAAACCTGGATTGGACATTTGACAGGAATTTTCATATCTTTGCACAATTGTACTAACCATTCACAATCCTTAAGTGAATAAGACAGTGCATTCAGTTCAGCTTCACAAGTACTTAAGCTAACTGTTGTTTGCTTCTTGCATGACCAATCAAACAGACTCTGATTGTACATGTAGCAAACCCAGACGTACTTTTCCTGTCTGTAGTGTCACTTCCAAAACTTGCATCTGCAAATATCTCAAGACCACCAGACTTCTGATTGTTAAATCTCAGTCTGTAATGCATAGTGCCTTTCAAATACCGCGCTATGCGTTTCAGAGCTTTCCAATCCTTGACACTAGGATTGTTGACTTGTCTGCTTAGCAAATTACAGCTAACAGCAATGTCTGGTCTTGAACATCTGGCAATGAAGTTTAGCTTGCCTAGCACACTCCTGTACAGTGTAGTGTCAGAAAATGCTTCTTCAGTGTCATCTACCTGATAACCTGTTGTCATCGGTGTGTCTACAGGGTTAGCATCCATCAGATTTAGTTTGCTTAACACATCAGCAATTTTCCGTGACTGGTGTACTAGAATGTTACCATCTTGATCTCTCTCTATTTCCAGAGATAGGTAGTTGTTTACCTCACCAAGATCTTTCATGTCAAAGTGCTCTTTCAGTTGAGCTAGGCGCTATTGTACATTGCAACATCTTTCCAAAAGAATAATAAATCATCAACATAAAACAAACAGTACAGTTTCTTTTGCCCCTCCTCTTGACAAATACACATGGATCAGCTTTTCCTTGCTGAAAACCTAGAGAAAACAATACTTCAGTGAGTTTTGTGTGCCAACACCGTGCACTTTGTTTGAGACCATAAAGGGATTTCTTCAGAGCACAAACAAATCCCTGTTTTACCTGTACGCCATCAGGTGGAAGCATATAAAGTGATTCATTTAGAGATCCGTACAGAAAAGCTGTATTAATATCATGGTGACTAATGTGTAGATTTTCCTCTGCAGCTAGCTTAAGCATAAGCCTAATGCTTTCATATCTCACTGTGGGTGAATAGGTCTCGTGATAGTCTTCACCTGGTACCTGTGCAAAACCTCTGGCTACCAATCTGGCTTTGTGTCTGACTATCTTGCCATTTTGATCTGTCTTCGCTTTGAAGACCCATTTGCTTCCAAGCAGTTTCATTCCTGGAACTACTGGAACTAGCTCCCATGTTTTGTTCCTTTCTAAGGAATCAAGCTCAGCCTTCATGGCATTTAACCATGGCTCAGCTTCCTTTGAATCCAAACCCTGGATTTCTTGGAAACTTGAAGGTTCAAATACCTTCTTGGAGCTTTTAACAGCTGTTACTGCTATCTTAGCAAACTCATCAGCAAATCTCTTTGGAGGTTTGCCTTTGTGGCTCTCTGTGACCTACGAATTAGCCTTAAATCTTCAACACTCTCCTCTTCCTTCTTAGGAGAAAAACGACCTATTGTGAACAATGGTTCCTCCAATTCTTGATCAGAGCTTTCAGAGGGTCGCATAGAGGCTTTCGCACTCCGAAATCCTCTGAATCACCCGATTCAGTTTCAGATTCAGACTCAGAACCTTCATCAGTGGGTGTGGGTTGTTGTGGTTGCTTTTGACTATCCTCAGTCTCATCACCGTCATCAGGATAACATTGGAAAATTCCCACATTCTCCCCCCACTTTGCATTGTACTCAACACTTCTCGTGAGCTTATTGTCTTAGAGTCAGTCATCATTATTCTGTAAGACCCTTTCTGATAACCTAGAAAAATACCATGCAATCCACGCTTGTCTAACTTGGAGTTTTGTGGTGAGCGAACCCACATGTCAGAACCAAAAATCTTCATGTGTTTGATGTATGGCTTCTTGCCAAACATCTTCTCATAGGGGGTACAACCAATCGCTGAAGATAATCTGCGATTGTAACTGTAAACAAAACACGAGAGAGATTCGGCCCAATAACTCTCTGGAAGATTGGCATCATGCAGCAAGGTTTTTAACCCTTGAAGCAAAGTCTGATTTGCCCGTTCCGCAAGTCCATTCTGCCATGGCGAGCGAGGACTAGACAAATCGTGTTGAATTCCTTTCTCAGTCAGAAAAGCTTCAAACTGCTGAGAAGTGAATTCCCCCCCGCGATCACTGAAAAGAGTCTTTATCTTCTTCCCATGCACATTTTCCAACCAAGCACAGAATTCCTTGAACCTAGGAAAAGCCTCCGATTTCTGCTTGAGATTGTACACAAAAATATATCTAGAAAATGCATCAATGAGAACCATGAAGTATCTATTTCCACCTAAAGAGGGCGTTAGTGGTCCAACCAAATCAGCATGAACAACCTGGTATGGTTCTGTAGCTTTCCTACTAGACACCTTACCTTTCGCAGCCATTTTCACCTTGTTTGCTGCGCATGCTTTGCACTTCATGTGGTACCTGCAGGGTTTAATAGTCATACCTTCAACCAAGGCAGGCATTTTAGATACTGCCTCAAAATGCAAATGACCAAATTCACGATGAAAATCGTGAATACATTCTGCATGCAAACTTTTGTTAGAACCTGCAATGCAACAAGTGTCATCCTGCACCACATCATCATAATACAAAACAAACAAACGATCAACATATTCTGCATGCAATATATAATCATTTTTCTTTGTGATGATGCACTTCTTGTTCTTGAAGGAAACGTCAATGTTCCGCTCATTCAGCTGTCCAACGCTGAGCAGATTATGTTTGGCGTCTGGCACGTAAAGCACATTCTGTATCGTTAAGTCCAAACTGTGAAGAGCAACAGTTCCGTAGCCTTTACTGGGAATAGTGTGGTCATCCGCCTGGTGAATCGCACCTTCCTGCGGTGTAAAAGACACAAACAGTTTCTTATCGTTGCACATGTGGTGGGTGGCCGCTGAATCAACAACGAAGAAAGATCTAGACGTCTTCTGGACCTCTGCAACCTTTGGAGTGAAGCGTGAAACCATAGCCTTGTGCTGCGTTGTCCTAGACACCGGACCTTTGCCTTTGCCTCGGCCTTTTCCGCGCGATGAGCTTCGCTGCGCTGCTCTGTCTTGGCCCTGGGATGTCTGCATTCCCTCTTCATATGGCCTAGACGTCCACATGAGTAGCATTTCACTGCCTTCAAAGCTTTGGCGCCATCTGGTGGTTCCACTGCACTATGGGATGACGTCTGTGAAGACTCCCCTTGCCCATGCAGCTAGCACCCCGGCGATCTGCTTCATTTAAAATCACGGCAGTAACAAAGTCCACTGTCAGCTGAGCAGTTGGTTGCACAGCAATCTGGGTTGCAACAGACTCCCAACCTGAACCCAAAGATTGTAGTATCATGAAAGAATACACAGCCTCTGGAAAGTTGAGTCCTCTCTGTTGCAGCTCATGTCTCAGATTTTGCATCTCCATCAAATGTAAACGCACATCTCCACCTTCAGCAAGAGCCATATTGTGCAGCTTGTTAATGTAAAACATAGTGGATCCAGCTTCTGTCCTTAAGTGAGCCTCTTTCAGAGCGTCCCAAATTTCTCTGGCTGAGGTCTTATCACGCAATAGACAGAGCTCTTCTGGGGATACTATCAATGTAAGAGTTCCCCTTGCTTTGGAATCCTTAGCTTCCCATGCATCTGTAACTGGAACTGGGGGTTCCTGTAATCACCTCAAACAAACCCTCTTTCCGCAGAATTGCCTCTGCATACTGAACCCAGTCGCTGTAATTATTCTTGTTGAGCTTAGGAATCCCACAAGCATCCTGAAGGGCCATCATGACTCTGGCATTAGCCTTCAGCGTCATATGCTGCTTTAAATCTTGCTGCGTCACTGCTGCAGCTGCTTCATTACAAAGGCACACTTAAAAGTTAGTTTCGATTTCCCCAGCATAGTGACTTGTGCCTGGGAGCCTTTTGCCTATTTGCAAAACCGGCTTTAAAAGTTCAAAGTCCAGCCATAAAGCCATTAACTTGAAGCTGGCAGGCTGCCCGGAGCAGTAGCACATACCTCATCAATCACTTCTACGCGCAGAGCAGATTCCTTTCCGATCCGTCCCTCTGCATTCCGATCCTCTGCCGGCACTCCGATTCGACCTCTGGAGTCCATAACCACGTGTTGATTTAAGCAGAGTCTTGGTGCCCAGCGGAAGGATGAGGAAAATGTGCTACATACTCTATATTGCTTTATTTACAGTTCAAAGCTGGTATATTACAGAAAGACATCTTGCCTCTGCAGGAGCAGAAAATGCATCCTCTCTCCTCGAGAGCTTGGAGAGAAAACACACAGTGAAAAACAGGAAACCAGTGTACGTCACATCCAGTCTCCCTTTCCCGTGAGAAACTCCAACAGTACAGACTGTGGAATGTAAACACCTGTCTTGTGACTGCAGTTGCTGCTCAGTGAAGGAAATAGAAACCAACAGTCAGACCCATTCTACATCACAGAAACGTATTCATTCAAGTTTTTTTTGTCATTTATTAAAATGTACAAGAGTTTTATGAGTTTTGATTTTGCATCTTTGACCTTCATGGTTAATCTTAGAGACATGCAGCAATATTCAACTAAATTTATTTAGAGTAGAGCAACTGAAAACAATTTAGTCATGTTCATGAATGTTAGTAGTTCTACTCTGAGTAAAACGTAGTTGGATAACTCCCATAGTTTAGCTTTTGACAGACACATGTCCGCAGCTTTTGAAAACAAAATGTCTGGATTGATGAGGCCACAAAACTCCCAGGGGTCTCTGCTTCAACTTTTGCCTGCATCATAGAGATCTTGTCTCACAGAAGCCCCATATCCTTCTGAGACATCCGTCTTCAACTTGTCATCTGAAATTCACACAAATCATGGCTTGCTCTGTTGAACTGTTGGGAAACTGTGGCCCTCCAAATGTTGCTGGACTGTAAATTCCATCATCCATGACCATTGGTCATAATGGTTAGAGGTGATGGGAGATGGAGTCCATCAACAACCAAAGATCTGTAGGTTCGCCACTCCTGCTCCAAGGCTTTGGTTCCTCAGTTGGAACAACCCATTGCTCACCTTGCTCCACCTCCCTTCCAGGATCTGAGCCTCGGCCTATTTTTCACCATGACACCCTCCTCTGTCCTCTCTAATCTTTGCTTGCCTACCCCAGAATCCATTCATCACCTGTTTTAGTTGCCTCTGGACTCTCGATTGCTGCCTTTGGATTCTTCCTTGCTCCGCACCATTTGCCTCTGAACTCACTTGACTCCAAGCATTTCGTAGGAATGATATGCCACAAATAATAGAAATTATCTCTTTCCTGAAGGAGCCAATACATGAAGAGAGCCGCACCATTGGCTGAAACTGGGGGCATTTTGCGGAATAGGATTTTTCATTTTACAGGGTATTTTGTGCCGGTATGGCCAAATAAACACCTTTCCTGCACCACAGCAAATGTATATATATCGTTTCCAGCTGACCTTTTTGTAACCTCTATTAAGGGGCAAAATGCAACTCAGATTTCACATTCAATGAAAAAGATGCTCACATCTTTCTAGCTGAATGCATTAAGCCTGGCAGTGGTGTCAGGAAGCCGCTTTGCACTACATGTTAATCTTGCCTTTAAATTTCATTTCTGAGTCTTCTGAGTTCAGAATGTATCACCTTTGTTTATTCATGAGCCCTGCACTGTCCTGATAGAAAGTCGCTGGAAGTTCAGGAGAAGGTTTGCTGGCCACAACTCGGTCATCGCTATTTGTCAATAATTTTGAAATGACACATTTCTGAAAAGGCAGCATCTCAACTCAGCTGGGAATTTCTTGTGCGCAGCTCAGCTCTGATGTGGCAAAATGAGAAGAGCCACCAACTTTTCTCGGAGTGAAACTGAGGCCACATCTGCACCTTCCATTTGAAGCATACCACTCAGAATGATTATCCTTCTTGGAAATGTAGCTCTCTGAAGAGAGTAGGGGTCTCCCAACAGCTCCCAGTACCCTTAACCACCCTGAGATCTTATGATGAAGGGCGGTATATAAAGCTAATAAATTAAATATATCTATTGAAAATAAACAAACTGCAGTTCCCAGGATTCTTTGGAGGAAACCATGTATGATACGCTTTAAATGTAAGGTACAGATGTGGCCTTAGAGGTGAAGACCTTGAGAAAATCCTCTGGATGATTCTATGAAGACAAAGAATAACAGTGGTGGGAAGAATACCAACTCACTGTTTGTTGCAGATATTAATATTGCGCAGTTTGAAACGACTGGAAGCATAAGAACTGACTCCTTTTGGAAATGATTCATTGTCCAAGCCCATAAAAGTAGTGTTCAAACAGAGCCTGAGAACAAAGACTCAGCTGCCATCCTTTCAAGATGGTGAATCTGCAGTTCAATAGCCTCCCATGTGATCTAATGTTAAACACTCGCATGTTAGCTAGCAGAGAATAACAGTTAATTATATCAACCCATCAAGGAGCTCAGAGAGCCCTTCTTACACTACTTTAACTTCAATGAAATCTTCCAGCATTATCCATTTCAGTGTCAATTAAATAATTATGCTTAACATGTTATCGTGTACTTATGTTCTGAGTGCCACGCCTTACATGAAGGAGGCTGCAGGTTTGATTCTTGGTATCTCCAGTTAAAAGTTTCAGGTGACCAGTAATGGATACTCTGGAGAGCTGCTGCCGTCAGAGCTACCAGTACTGAGCTACTGCTGTTAGATGGCTTCCTGTCTTCTACCAGCTTCTTAATTCATTTTTTAAACTAAATTAAAATCTCCCTTCATGTGCCATTGCCCTCTCCAGGTGTTTTTTGGGAATGGTAGGCAAATGCTTCATATTTATCTGCAAGGCCAATGTTACCTCTTTTTTAAAAAAGCCCTTAAAACATATTATTTTCATTTCTGGCAAGAGGGACACACAACCCACGCCTTCAGGGGGGGAGATGAAAAGGGGAAAAAAGCTAAAGGAACATCTGGTGGAAGATATCATCAAGGGTTTCCTCAGAATTTTTAAGCTCTCTGAAGTCCGTTTGCATCCACGGCAAGATTCTCATGAACGTGATCATCATGAAAATGTTGATTTAAAGCAGAGTCTGGTTGCCCAGCGGAAGGATGAGGAAAATGTGTTACATACTCTTTATTGCTTTATTTACAGTTCAAAGCTGGTATATTACAGAAAGACATCTTGCCTCTGCAGGAGCAGAAAATGCATCCTCTCTCCTCTCTCAGCTCGGAGAGAATCACACAGTGAAAAAACAGGAAACCAGTGTACGTCACATCCAGTCTCCCTTTCCCGTGAGAAACTCCAACAGTACAGACTGTGGAATGTAAAACAATGTCTTGTGACTGCAGTTGCTGCTCAGTGAGGGAAATAGAAACCAACATCCTCCCCTTTCTGTGAACATCACTGGGCAGCGTGTTCGTACAGTATCAGTACAAACCCAACTTCTGCACATAGGTACAGTGTTGATCCCTTGATACAATCTTGGACAATACATCAGCAGGAATTTCATTACCTGGCATATAGGACACCGTTACGAGTCCCTTCTGAATACATTCCCTAGCATGCTGCAACTTTAATTGTAAGTGCTTTGTGCTTTGCTTACAACCTTCAGACTTCAGCAAAGCCAAACATGCTTTGTTGTCCTGGTAAACCTGGATTGGACATTTGACAGGAATTTTCATATCTTTGCACAATTGTACTAACCATTCACAATCCTTAAGTGAATAAGACAGTGCATTCAGTTCGGCTTCACAAGTACTTAAGCTAACTGTTGTTTGCTTCTTGCATGACCAATCAAACAGACTCTGATTGTACATGTAGCAAACTCCAGACGTACTTTTCCTGTCTGTAGTGTCACTTCCAAAACTTGCATCTGCAAATATCTCAAGACCACCAGACTTCTGATTGTTAAATCTCAGTCTGTAATGCATAGTGCCTTTCAAATACCGCGCTATGCGTTTCAGAGCTTTCCAATCCTTGACACTAGGATTGTTGACTTGTCTGCTTAGCAAATTACAGCTAACAGCAATGTCTGGTCTTGAACATCTGGCAATGAAGTTTAGCTTGCCTAGCACACTCCTGTACAGTGTAGTGTCAGAAAATGCTTCTTCAGTGTCATCTACCTGATAACCTGTTGTCATCGGTGTGTCTACAGGGTTAGCATCCATCAGATTTAGTTTGCTTAACACATCAGCAATTTTCCGTGACTGGTGTACTAGAATGTTACCATCTTGATCTCTCTCTATTTCCAGAGATAGGTAGTTGTTTACCTCACCAAGATCTTTCATGTCAAAGTGCTCTTTCAGTTGAGCTAGGGCGCTATTGTACATTGCAACATCTTTCCAAAAGAATAATAAATCATCAACATAAAACAAACAGTACAGTTTCTTTTGCCCCTCCTCTTTGACAAATACACATGGATCAGCTTTCCCTTGCTGAAAACCTAGAGAAAACAATACTTCAGTGAGTTTTGTGTGCCAACACCGTGCACTTTGTTTGAGACCATAAAGGGATTTCTTCAGAGCACAAACAAATCCCTGTTTTACCTGTACGCCATCAGGTGGAAGCATATAAAGTGATTCATCTAGAGATCCGTACAGAAAAGCTGTATTAATATCATGGTGACTAATGTGTAGATTTTCCTCTGCAGCTAGCTTGAGCATAAGCCTAATGCTTTCATATCTCACTGTGGGTGAATAGGTCTCGTGATAGTCTTCACCTGGTACCTGTGCAAAACCTCTGGCTACCAATCTGGCTTTGTGTCTGACTATCTTGCCATTTTGATCTGTCTTCGCTTTGAAGACCCATTTGCTTCCAAGCAGTTTCATTCCTGGAACTACTGGAACTAGCTCCCATGTTTTGTTCCTTTCTAAGGAATCAAGCTCAGCCTTCATGGCATTTAACCATGGCTCAGCTTCCTTTGAATCCAAACCCTGGATTTCTTGGAAACTTGAAGGTTCAAATACCTTCTTGGAGCTTTTAACAGCTGTTACTGCTATCTTAGCAAACTCATCAGCAAATCTCTTTGGAGGTTTGCCTTTGTGGCTCTCTGTGACCTACGAATTAGCCTTAAGTCTTCAACACTCTCCTCTTCCTTCTTAGGAGAAAAACGACCTATTGTGAACAATGGTTCCTCCAATTCTTGATCAGAGCTTTCAGAGGGTCGCATAGAGGCTTTCGCACTCTTGAAATCCTCTGAATCACCCGATTCAGTTTCAGATTCAGACTCAGAACCTTCATCAGTGGGTGTGGGTTGTTGTGGTTGCTTTTGACTATCCTCAGTCTCATCACCGTCATCAGGATAACATTGGAAAATTCCCACATTCTCCCCCACTTTGCATTGTACTCAACACTTCTCGTGAGCTTAATTGTCTTAGAGTCAGTCATCATTATTCTGTAAGACCCTTTCTGATAACCTAGAAAGATACCATGCAATCCACGCTTGTCTAACTTGGAGTTTTGTGGTGAGCGAACCCACATGTCAGAACCAAAATCTTCATGTGTTTGATGTATGGCTTCTTGCCAAACATCTTCTCATAGGGGGTACAACCAATCGCTGAAGATAGCCTGCGATTGTAACTGTAAACAAAACACGAGAGAGATTCGGCCCAATAACTCTCTGGAAGATTGGCATCATGCAGCAAGGTTTTTAAACCTTGAAGCAATGTCTGATTTGCCCGTTCCGCAAGTCCATTCTGCCATGGCGAGCGAGGACTAGACAAATCGTGTTGAATTCCTTTCTCAGTCAGAAAAGCTTCAAACTGCTGAGAAGTGAATTCCCCGCGATCACTGAAAAGAGTCTTTATCTTCTTACCATGCACATTTTCCAACCAAGCACAGAATTCCTTGAACCTAGGAAAAGCCTCCGATTTCTGCTTGAGATTGTACACAAAAATATATCTAGAAAATGCATCAATGAGAACCATGAAGTATCTATTTCCACCCAAAGAGGGCGCTAATGGTCCAACCAAATCAGCATGAACAACCTGGTATGGTTCTGTAGCTTTCCTACTAGACACCTTACCTTTCGCAGCCATTTTCACTTTGTTTGCTGCGCATGCTTTGCACTTCATGTGGTACCTGCAGGGTTTAATAGTCATACCTTCAACCAAGGCAGGCATTTTAGATACTGCCTCAAAATGCAAATGACCAAATTTGCGATGAAAATCGTGAATACATTCTGCATGCAAACTTTTGTTAGAACCTGCAATGCAACAAGTGTCATCCTGCACCACATCATCATAATACAAAACAAACAAATGATCAACATATTCTGCATGCAATACATAATCATTTTTCTTTGTGATGATGCACTTCTTGTTCTTGAAGGAAACGTCAATGTTCCGCTCATTCAGCTGTCCAACGCTGAGCAGATTATGTTTGGCGTCTGGCACGTAAAGCACATTCTGTATCGATAAGTCCAAACTGTGAAGAACAACAGTTCCGTAGCCTTTACTGGGAATAGTGTGGTCATCCGCCTGGTGAATCGCACCTTCCTGCGGTGTAAAAGACACAAACAGTTTCTTATCGTTGCACATGTGGTGGGTCGCCGCTGAATCAACAACGAAGAAAGATCTAGACGTCTTCTGGACCTCTGCAACCTTTGGAGTGAAGCGTGAAACCATAGCCTTGTGCTGCGTTGTCCTAGACACCGGACCTTTGCCTTTGCCTCGGCCTTTTCCGCGCGATGAGCTTTTGCTGCGCTGCTCTGTCTTGGCCCTGGGATGTCTGCATTCCCTCTTCATATGGCCTAGACGTCCACACGAGTAGCATTTCACTGCCTCCAAAGCTTTGGCGCCATCTGGTGGTTCCACTGCACTATGGGATGACGTCTGTGAAGACTCTCCTTGCCCATGCAGCTAGCACCCCGGCGATCTGCTTCATTTAAAATCACGGCAGTAACAAAGTCCACTGTCAGCTGAGCAGTTGGTTGCACAGCAATCTGGGTTGCAACAGACTCCCAACCTGAACCCAAAGATTGTAGTATCATGAAAGAATACACAGCCTCTGGAAAGTTGAGTCCTCTCTGTTGCAGCTCATGTCTCAGATTTTGCATCTCCATCAAATGTAAACGCACATCTCCACCTTCAGCAAGAGCCATATTATGCAGCTTGTTAAAGTAAAACATAGTTGATCCAGCTTCTGTCCTTAAGTGAGCCTCTCTCAGAGCGTCCCAAATTTCTCTGGCTGAGGTCTTATCACGCAATAGACAGAGCTCTTCTGGGGATACTATCAATGTAAGAGTTCACCTTGCTTTGGAATCCTTAGCTTCCCATGCATCTGTAACTGGAACTGGGGGGGTTTCTGTAATCACTTCAAACAAACCCTCTTTCCGCAGAATTGCCTCTGCATACTGAACCCAGTCGCTGTAATTATTCTTGTTGAGCTTAGGAATCCCACAAGCATCTTGAAGGGCCATCATGACTCTGGCATTAGCCTTCAGCGTCATATGCTGCTTTAAATCTTGCTGCGTCACTGCTGCAGCTGCCTCATTACAAAGGCACACTTAAAAGTTACTTTCGATTTCCCCAGCATAGTGACTTGTGCCTGGGAGCCTTTTGCCTATTCCCGGCAAAACCGGCTTTAAAAGTTCAAAGTCCAGCCATAAAGCCATTATCTTGAAGCTGGCAGGCTGCCCGGAGCAGTAGCACATACCTCATCAATCACTTCTACGCGCAGAGCAGATTCCTTTCCGATCCGTCCCTCTGCATTCCGATCCTTTGCCGGCACTCCGATTCGACCTCTGAAGCCCATAACCACGTGTTGATTTAAAGCAGAGTCTGGTTGCCCAGCGGAAGGATGAGGAAAATGTGTTACATACTCTTTATTGCTTTATTTACAGTTCAAAGCTGGTATATTACAGAAAGACATCTTGCCTCTGCAGGAGCAGAAAATGCATCCTCTCTCCTCTCTCAGCTCGGAGAGAATCACACAGTGAAAAAACAGGAAACCAGTGTACGTCACATCCAGTCTCCCTTTCCCGTGAGAAACTCCAACAGTACAGACTGTGGAATGTAAAACAATGTCTTGTGACTGCAGTTGCTGCTCAGTGAGGGAAATAGAAACCAACATAAAACACTTATTTCTAAAAGCCAGCGTTAACTCCTTGTGGCCCAATTCATTGTGTCAATATCAGCACTGTGCTGAAATCTGTCCTCCGGTTTCCTGGAAGTTTTCCTCCACTGTGAAAGAGGCTTCCATTTTTCTGCCTCGACTTTGTTTAGCTCTTTGTTGAGCCTTCCTCAACCTGTTGCTCTCCAGATTGTTTTGGATTGCAACTCCCAGTGGCACCAGCTAGCAATAGGCAACAGTGCTGGGTTGATGGGAGTTGTAGTCCAAAATATCGGGAGGGAGCCAGGATGGGGAAAGCTGCTCAAAGCGGTAATCAATGAAGAGGAGAGCATCTCCATTCAGACTCAGAAACTGAGCTGAGAAAAATCACTCCAGTTCCTAAAACTCAGATAATTGATTGATTCATTCTGAGTCTAATTATGTCCTTCTTACACACACACACACACACACACACACACACACACACACACTAGGTGTCAAGTGTGTAAAAAAAGAAAAAACTCCTTCCACCCACTGACCCATCTACTACAATTTAGGAAGGGGCAGAAACTCAGTTCAGTTCACATTTTAACAGAACTTACCTAATTTGCCCTTCCCTACAAATTATCAGAGCCAGAACACATTGACACTTTGGAAATCTGAAATCCTCTAATGTTTGTGATGCAGTTTAAAAATCTTAATGTGTTTAAAAATGTGTATGTTAGGGTACTGTGAACATACATTTGAACCAGTGCTGGATTTACGTAAAGTGGTACCTCTGGATGCGAGCAGGATCCGTTCCGGAGCCCCATTCACATCCTGAATAGAACGCAACCCACATCTGTGTGTGCACGGGTCACGATTCGCTGCTTCTGCGCATGCGCGCGACATTATTTTGAGCGGCTGCACATGCGCGAGCGGCGAAACCCAGAAGTAATGTGTTGCATTACTTCCAGGTTGCCGTGGAGCGCAAACCAAAAATGCTCAACCTGAAGCAACTTTAACCCAAGGTATGACTGTATAAGCTAAACAAGCTATAGTTTAGGGCCCCACTCCCTTTGGGGCCAAAAATATTTAAAGAAAAAAAACTGGATGTACATTTCCAAAATATAAGATAAAAAACAAATACAATAAAACCTACATACAGCAACAGTGTTTTGTGTTGTGTAGGCTCCTATGATGTAAGTCATGGGCCCCGCCTGCTAGCCTGCTCCCTAAAATATCACTGTTTTGCTCATTTCTATATATAGGGTGCCTACATTCTGCATGGACTGGCTGAATGGCAACATGTGCAAATGGCTTCCAATACCTATTAGGTCCATAAATTACCATGTAGCATATATTCAACACAAAAAACAGCAACAATTTGTTGTTGACAAGGGACAGCTGGACATATAAAGGGCCCCATTGCCTTCAGTAGCTTAGGGCCTCATCAAACCTAAATCTGTCCCTGATTGGAACATATCAGTAAAACTATCAATCCATCAATCTTTCTTGTTGCAATCACAGAACAGCCAATAAGTTACAATCAAACAAATGCAAGTGTTGCCATGGTACAGGGCAGCAAAAGATGGTTTGGGATTAACAGTGTGGCAGAGAGGTAAGAAATGCGTGAGTGGTGCCACAACCACAGTAGAATGATTTGATGGGTGCCAGTGTGGTTGGTAACCTGATCCTGTTGGTGACTTTGTTAGGGATGTCTGATGAAAGGAAGGGCAGTGTATATGTATGTAGTTTTATATATATATATATATATATATATATATATATATATATATATACACACACACACACACACACACACACACACACGGCCATTTTGGTTTGCAGTAGTACCTACTTTGAGACATCACAGGCAACTGCTGTTCACTCAGGACGCTTGATTAAACAGCAGACGCGGGACCCGTGGAGCAAATTATGATAAATTGCGAATATTGATTGCTTTTAACCAGATGGGTGATACCTTCTGGCGTTTAAATATAGGAATGGAGCCAACGATACCTTGACCTCACCTCTGCACTGAGAACTTGCATGAAATTAATTTGAGCTGTCATTCAGGTAGCAGTCAGAATTATGTGATAGCTGATTTATTAATTTAAGAGGGGGAACTGCGGACCAGATGTGTTCTCTATTGGAAGATGACTCCAGTGGCTTTCGGTGGGTAACTGATGGGGAACTTCAAGATGTTGCCCATTTTGGTTGGATCCGTTATGACATATTGCATTTTTCACATTAATTAACATGTACTTTGATACGCGATAAACAACTTAAATTCCTCCTCTCTCTCTCTCTCTCTCTCTCTCTCTCTCTCTCAATGTTTTAGCTAATTAGACGTTCTACTAAATATAACTAATCACTGTTTGCTTTTCAAGGTGTAGGTGCTTCTCCAGCGATAATGAAATGATAGCACAATGTTTGGTTCAAGAACCACCACATATTTCATGTGTTTTCTACACAGAAAGCACTGACCATGTTGATAATAATATGTAGATGTGGAAGGGGAGTTGTGATCATAACAAGTCCATAGGGCTGCCAGAAAATCTAATGACGTTTTTGATGAGTTTTCAGGGTTTTTGGAACATACAATGCTGAGTTCTACCAAAGTAGAACATTGGTCCATGGAACAACTGATTGGTTCAAAATTGGGAAAGGGGTACGGCAAGGCTGTATATTGTCTCCCTGCTTATTTAACTTATATGCAGAATTCATCATGCGAAAGCCTGGACTGGATGAATCCCAAGCCGGAATTAAGATTGCCGGAAGAAATATCAACAACCTCAGATACGCAGATGACACAACCTTGATGGCAGAAAGTGAAGAGGAATTAAGGAACCTTTTAATGAGGGTGAAAGAGGAGAGCGCAAAATATGGTCTGAAGCTCAACATCAAAAAAACAAAGATCATGGCCACTGGGCCCATCACCTCCTGGCAAATAGAAGGGGAAGAAATGGAGGCAGTGAGAGATTTTACTTTCTTGGGCTCCATGATCACTGCAGATGGTGACAGCAGTCACGAAATTAAAAGACGCCTGCTCCTTGGGAGAAAGGCGATGGCAAACCTAGACAACATCTGAGACATCACCTTGCCAACAAAGGTCCGTATAGTAAAAGCCATGGTTTTCCCAGTAGTGATGTATGGAAGTGAGAGCTGGACCATAAAGAAGGCTGATCGCCGAAGAATTGATGCTTTTGAATTATGGTGCTGGAGGAGACTCTTGAGAGTCCCATGGACTGCAAGAAGATCAAACCTCTCCATTCTGAAGGAAATCAGCCCTGAGTGCTCACTGGAAGGACAGATCCTGAAGCTGAGGCTCCAATACTTTGGCCACCTCATGAGAAGAGAAGACTCCCTGGAAAAGACCCAGATGTTGGGAAAGATGGAGGGCACAAGGAGAAGGGGACGACAGAGAATGAGATGGTTGGATGGTGTTCTTGAAGCTACCAGCATGAGTTTGATCAAACTGCGGGAGGCAGTGGAGGACAGAAGTGCCTGGCGTGCTCTGGTCCATGGGGTCACGAAGAGTCGGACACGACTAAACGACTAAACAACAACAACAACAGAACATTGGTCCATCTAGCTGGGCCAATGGACCAATGTTTGTGCATGCTGTAAAGGCTGAACTAGATAAGCCTTTGTTCTGATCTAGCAGGACTTATCAGGTTCTTATCACTTGTTGCCTTGTAGCTCAGTCAGAAGAGCGTGAGACTCTTAATCTAAGGCTGGTGGGTTCAAGCCTCAGGTTGGACAAAAGATTCCTGCATTGCAGGGGGTTGGACTAGATGACCCTCTGGTCTCTTCCAACGCTACAGTTCTAGGATTCTATCTCATTATTACATGCAGTGACTGGTAGCAGCTCTTCAGGGTAGATTTCATAACATTACTGTGAAGTATCATGAGTTTGAAACAGGGATCTTCTGTAATGCTGAGCATGTGCTCCACCACTAGCAGTGCTGAGCCCAAAGCACAAAGCTACATGAAAAGGCATTATTTAGGGAGGTGCTTCTTTTATCTGTATCACATTCTCTGCTCCTTTCATTATGTGGCCATAACAACATAGCTAACATATGAAACCAACATGCAGATGACTGTAGGCCAAGCCATACGGAGATATTCAATGAATTCATTCCGTCACTTGCATTGGAGCATCTGCTCAAATCCTACTTGAGGGTTTCTGACACGCATCTTGTTGGCCACTGTGAGAACAGGATGCTGCACCAGATGGGCCAATGGCCTGATCCAGCAGGCTCTTCTTCTGTTCCAAAAGCCCCAAAACACAACAGAACAACTGAAGCAAATTTAAGAGCAGATATAACCAAATCATGTCTCTGGGAATTACAAAGTGTTCCATAGTGAAGCAATGGCTCCTTGACGAAAAAAATCCGAATAGTTAAAGCTATGGTTTTCCCAGTAGTGATGTATGGAAGTGAGAGCTGGACCATAAAGAAGGCTGAGCGCCAAAGAATTGATGCTTTTGAATTATTGAGCTGGAGGAGACTCTTGAGAGTCCCATGGACTGCAAGACAATCACACCTATCCATTCTGAAGGAAATCAGCCCAGAGTGCTCACTGAAAGGACAGATCCTGAAGCTGAGGCTCCAATACTTTGGCCACCTCATGAGAAGAGAACACTCCCTGGAAAAGACCCTGATGTTGGGAAAGATGGAGGGCACAAGGAGAAGGGGACAACAGAGGACGAGAGGGTTGGACAATGTTCTTGAAACTACCAACTTGAATTTGACGAAACTGCGGGAGGCAGTGGAAGACAGGAGTGCCTGGCGTGCTCTGGTCCATGGGGTCACGATGAGTCGGAGATGACTAAACGACTAAACAACAACAACAAACATTGTGTGGCACTTGCAGAAGTATAAGTTTGAAGTGATTGAGTCGGCATGTGTGGGGTAAGGCAATCCCTGAAGGAAACCTGTCCCAAGACATTAAGAGCTTTCTATACAAAGAACAGTAACTCAGCCTGTTGGCAAACTGGCAGCCAGCACAGAGCTTTGAGCACAGGTGTAACATGCCGACATAACTCTTACTCAGGCCAGCAATCATGCTGCAGCGTTTTGCACTAACTCCAGTTTCAGATCAGTTGCAAGGGAAACCCCATGCAGGGTGCATTACAGTAGTCTAGACTCGAAGTTACCAATTCGTGAACCACCATGGTCAAGGTGTTTGTGAAATGGGCTCCACATTTTGTCTTGGCACCATTGCAAATTGGGTATATTGCATCACTGAATTTATTCCCCCTTAAGTTGTTAATGGCCTTGACCTTAGGAAGAATGGATCTAGATTCAAAAGGAGCTTCAGGATGGACACCTTGCAATACCTGTGTCCACATGTATGTGTGTGTGTGTGTGTGTGTTCTCCATATGTTCAGAATCTCACAATGTCAGATGAAGTATGAAACTATCTCACTTTTAAGGACAGACCAACCGACATTTTGTTCTGTGCCAGCTCTGGGAAGATGTGTATATTATTATCTTGAATATTCAAAGTGAAACTCCCACTCCCCAAGATGTGTCTTTGGGACAAATCTTTTCTCTCTTCCTTACATAATACATTTCAGCAGGTCTTAAAGCTCTTTGTGAATTCACGGTCGCACTGATAGCATTTTATCTTACATCTCAGCCTCCTTTGCTGTTATCAGCAAGGCTAAATCCTTCTTTCTTCAGTTTGGTCTCTTTGGCAATGCATTCATCCTAAGGTCCTTTTCTTGTTTGTAACAAAACCTTTTTTAAAAAAAAAAACCTTATTGCCTAGAAAAAAATGTATATCTGATGAAATCTCTCAGTTATTGTCTTGACTTAGAAGCATTCAGCTCAGCTGTTGGGAGGGGAAGGGGGGGATGTATTCTCAAGAGCTGTGGAATTGTATGACTTCAGCACACAACTTTTTATTAGTTTTGCAAAAGTCAACCTGAAGAAGGAGGGGAAAAACACAATCATCTTCAGGATGAGTGTTAGACAGATTGGAAACACCTGTCAGTTTGCAGGCTCTGAAACTTCTCTTGCTGTGTCAAGCTCAGAGATGTTTGAATACTGGTGGTCTGTGGAGTTATAGGAACATTGGGAGATGACTCAGGGCTTCGCCACACTTATCTTTCCTTCGCTCTTTCCAGGCACGAATTGAAGCAAAAGGCAATCCTAAAGAAAACCCAAGTTGACATTTGCTCTGATTGAGCACTGAAGTAGGGAGAGAAGGGCCCAACACGATTTTCCCTCTCCCTTTCTCTCTCTCTCTATCCCAGCTTTTATCTGAGGAGCTCAAGGTGGTGTACATGGTTCTCTCCCTCCTCATTTTAATCTCCACAACAACCCTGTGAGGTAGGTTAGGCTGGGAGGGAGGCCGTGGCCCAAGGTCACCCAGTGAGCTTCACGTCTGAGTAGGGATTTGAACTCTGCTCTCCCAAGTCCACGTCTGACACTCTAACCACTGTACCACATAGGATGTGTGTACTTTGATCACTTGGAGATGCTTCATAAGAAGCAAACCATAAACGAAATTTTAAACGAGCAGCAATGAAGTGCTTCATTATCTTCCTCAAAATACAGGGTGAGACCAAGTATTTATTTATTTTATTGTTATTTTTGTAAACCGAAAAGCTTGCAGTGAAAACGATCACACTGAATACACGGATAAAGATTTGTGTGTTTATCGTCAAGACTGATTTCTGTGTCCCAACAATGTATCTTTTGGATAGTCAATACTATGCAATACTTAACTGCTCTTAACATAATAAATTTACCCAGGGTGGGAGGAGGGGACTATGGCAGGAACATTTGCATGGAAGTCTATTCCCCCAGGGCTGCTGTTTATATACATGATTTAACTGTCACTCCCTAACTATATAAACTGCTCTGATGGAGAAACCCTCGATTCCCCCCTGGCTTTGGCTTTTTGTCTTTTTGTCTTTTCGTTTCCCCCTCTTCCATTTGCAGCTGTCCTCAGCCGAGCCGTGGAGATAAGGCAAGGCTTGACACTGACTTAACAGGGACCCACTGCCTCGCATCAATCACCCTCCCAAACGCTCTCTCAGAGAGGCATCGGCGCCACATTTCGCAGTGGCTCTCGCAGATGGTTTGGCAGCAGCAAGAACCTGCCAAAAGCCAATGGCTGTGATAAGTGAGGACGTCAAAGGGAAGTGACAGAGAGCAGCCGAGACAAAGCGGTGGGAGCGATGCAAAAATTGCAGGACCGGAATATTCGGGACCGGAGTCTTTGATCTCCATTCAGACCCCGGTGAAGTTCTCCAGACTGAACAACTGTCATGGAAGAGGAGGTCAGAACTCAATGGCAGAGAACACAATGCTTTGCATGCAGAAGGTCCTATATGGGATCATGCTGCACAGGGGTTGGGAACTTCATAGAAGAAGAGCCTGCTAGATCAAGCCAATGGCCCATCTAGTCCAGCATCCTGTTCTTACATCGGCCAACCAGATGCCTACAGGAAACCAACAAGCAGGATTTGAACACAAGGGCCCTCTCCCCTCCTGTGGTTTCCAGCCACTGGTCTTCAGAAGCATCGCTGCTTCCGACTGTTCAAGCAGAGCATAGCCATTGTGGTTAATAGCCGTTGATAGCCCTCTCCTTCTACAGGAATCTGTCTAATCTTCTTTAAATAACAAATAAAAGATTTCAATGGATAACAAAGGTGCATATGATGTCTCTGTTTCCAGCTCATAGAGTCCTAGGACCCACGTACCTACGGGACCGCCTCTCCTGGTATGCCCTGCAGAGGACCTTAAGGTCTACAAATGACAACACTTTGGAGGTCCCAAGCCTCAAGGAGGTTAGATTGGTTTCAACTAGGGCCAGGGCCTTTTCAGCACTGGCCCCGACTTGGTGGAATGCTCTGTCACAAGAGACTAGGGCCCTGCGGGACTTGACATCTTTCTGCAGGGCCTGCAAGACAGAGCTGCTCCGCCTGACCTTTGGTTTGGACTCGGTCTGACCCTTATGTTTCCCTCCCTTTATGGTCTTGATTTATCAGCTACTTTAAAATGAGGCTGCATTAAAATTGCATTTTAACCGGTATTTTATTTTTATTTTTCTCCCCCCTCCCTTTCCCCCCTATTATGTTTTTACTGTGCTTTTATTGGTGCTAGCTGCCCAGCTCTGGCTGGGGAGGGTGGGGTATAAATAAATTATTATTATTATTATTATTATTATTATTATTATTATTATTATTACTTTATACATGTCAGTTACATTCAATGTAAGACACTGCAGTCATATGCATTGTGAGTTTGGGGGGAAGAGAGAAGAGGGGGAGAAAGGGAAGAGATCATGATCTTTCCTTCTTTTGCATAGTGTATGTGCAGAGTTTTGGTGACAGCTTCATGTGGAGAGGTTCATTGTTTGTTTATTTATTCATTTCCATTGGCAGTGTGAGAGGTTGTGGAGCCCAGAGCCCAGTTGGTTGCTGTCAGGGAACTGCCATCAGTGTCCGAGGGAGAGAGCAAGCTCCAAAGGGATCCTGGAGAGCATCCCGGGAGTGGGAGAGGCAGCCCGTCTTCTGGGGAAGAGAATCAACGTAGCTCCAGTGGAGAAGGGGGGCAGATGGGGGAATCGGCGAGGCGGTCCCATGACTCCTTGCCGGGGACCAGCGGGGAGAGGAAGGGTCCTCTGCTGCCTACGCCCTCCTTGCGCAGAAGGCTTCCACGCAGGGAGAGTAGGAGGAGACTTGGCGTCAAAGAGCTTCTTTGCTGGAAGATGTTTAAGAAACGCCCACTGACGGATTCTGCCAGCGATTGAGACAGTCACGGGCGAGTGGCTGCCCGGACAGGAAAGGTTCACTCAGGCAACCCAGCCAGAGGTTGGGACAAGCTTACGCACGAGCAACCCCTAGAACCATTACAGTTGCCTTTGGTTGCTTGCAGTGGGGTTTTGTCTGTGGGGGTGTTGGTTATTGGGGTCAAATTAGCCATATCGATTCATATGCTGTTGGGAAGGTTAGGTCATTGTCTTGTTGGGCTGTATATGAAATAAAGAGGAACCATTTTGAGGTCATCCCAGCTGGAAGTACTTCAGGTCTTGGGGTCCTATTTGGTCCTCAGGGGGTCTGTAAGTGTGTATAGAAACCAGCCTATTGGACATTGATTTCTCCACCCACTTTTGCTCTGGCCCCACCCACCACCAGCATATGACCTTTGCAGTCATGCCCAAAAGAGAATGAGCTCCTGTCATCGTCACGGACGTAGATCAAGAAATATAGCAGTGAATCTTTCACCCATGCTTTCAGGTCTGCCTCCTTCCATATGTAGCTACCTAAGCACTTCTGTCAACATCAGATGACTTGCTCTGTGTCCTACCATTGGCTGAAGATTGGCAGGTGGTGGCAGGGCCTTTTGGGATGATGTACACCAGTCATGGGATGCCCTCCACAGGGGAGCCCATTGCAATCTTTGCCTGTTTTCAGATAGCACCAAAGCAGCAGCAGTAGGAGAAATGGCATCTTAAGGAAAATAGCATGGCTTGTGGGGCAGTATTTGGGGCACGTTTGTTCTCTGGGGGTCCCTCTCTCCTCACTATATGTTTAGATGATGGGCTTACCTGGTGACAGGAAGTAATGAGTGCTGGTCAGTTTGGAACAGCCATTTGAGTATTCTACCATATCCTGGTTCAGACCTCATAGAATCATAGAATTGTAGAGTTGGAAGAGACCCCAAGGGACATCTACTCCAACCCCCTGCAATGCAGGGATCTCAGCTAAAGCAACCATGACAGATGGCCTTCCAAACTTTGATTAAAAACCTCCAACGAAGTAGAGCCCACAACCTCCTGAGCGAGACTGTTCCACTGTCAAAAAGCTCTTAGTGTCACAAAGTTCTTCCTGATGTTTCGTCGTAATCTCCTTCCTTGGATCTTGAAGTCATTTGTTCGGGTCCTACCCTCCAGAGCAGAAGACAAGCTTGCTACATCTTCCATGTGACAACCCTTGAGATATTTGAAGATGGCTATCATATCTCCTCTCAACCTCCTCTTTTCCAGGCTAAACATACTCAGCTCATGTACAGTTCTCCAATGCCTTATGGGAAATTCAAACTGGTTCCAAGCTGCTGGGTGCTCATTAGAGAGGGCCCTAGAACGAGCATCTGTGGTTGGCTCCTGGTGGGATACAGGAGCCCTAGAAACTACCTGAAGGTTTTGGATGCTGACACAAGCCCTGCTTTGGGTTAATCCTGAAAGTACTACTGAAACTTGAACATGGGCAAACATCCAGCACATCCCTAGCTGTGGAGTAGCCTTAACAAAGTTGTCATATTTCTGAAGTTATATTATCAGACTTAATCTTCTCTGAACTGTGTCACAGTTGCAAGAAATAAATGGGGACACTGTTGTCAAGGCCTTCTAATTTCCTGCGACAGCTGTCACTGGTTCTTCCTTACACACCAGCCACATTCCTGATAACAAAAATAGAGTTGCAAACCACTTGTGATGGGCAGCAGGAGAGGCGCAGTAACTGTTTGAGAAAGCAAATGTGAAACTGCTGCAATTAAATTTGGCCCAGTGACCTTCTTGTTAGGTATTGATTTTACTAACTAGTATTTATAAATCACTCCTGAGTCTGTAGACCTACGGGAAGGACAGACTTCTTTTAATATTAAAAATTAGCATTTATGTTGCAATTATTATTATTATTATTATTATTATTATTATTATTATTTGTACCCCACCCTTCTGATTGGGCTGCCCCAGCCACTCTGGACGGCTTCCAACAAAAAGCATAGTAAATAAACATAAACATAACAAATAAACTTAATAAATAAAGCCCCCCTTTGGAGGGGGGTTGATAAGCCCTGTGCACATTGGCCTCACAGACTTTACTCTGTAGAGTGCAGATCTCTGAAGGGGGGGTTCTAGCTGTGTTCCAATTAAGACCCTTGGAAGCCTCCCCTTGAGCAAGAACGTTGCACAACCAGGATTCCAAAACACAAGCAGGTCTACGCATGTCCAGCCAAATGCATGAAGAATCCCTCTTGCACACAATGCCTGAAGGTTTGTGATAAAGCTGGAAAGAACAGTGCACTCTGCAGAATTGTTGATCTGGAAGAGACCCAAAGGGTCACCTAGTCCAAACCCCTGGCTTTGGAGACACTGGGGGCAATATGTGTGCCTCTTTACAGTAATGTCAGTGAAGGAGCTCAAGAGCAGGGGCGTCGCAAGAGGAGTGTGGGGTGGGGTGTCCGTCCCGGGTGTCCTGCCTGGGGTGTGTGTGACAAAATCCCCCCCAGGCACATCAGCATGGTGGTGCTCGCATCCCCGGGGGTCAGATTTTCAAGCTTGTCATGATCGTTGCCATGAAAATCTGCCCACTGATCGTGCAAATACTGTCTGGTGATGGTGGGGAGGGTGTGAGCATGGCTGGTGGTGTGCGGCGATGACGTGACAGGGTGCTTGCGGCAGCGTTGTTGTCAGTGGCAGCTCAGGAAGTACAGAATGGAGAAACTGAACCTTGCAGCAACAGAAGATGCAGTGCAGTACCAGTTGCCAACAAATGTCCACATAGTTAAAGCTATGGTTTTCCTAGTAGTGATGTATGGAAGTGAGAGCTGGACCATAAAGAAGGCTGATCACAAAGAATTGATGCTTTTGAATTATGGTGCTGAAGGAGACTCTTGAGAGTCCCATGGACTGCAAGAAGATAAAACATATCCAATTTGAAGGAAATCAGCCCTGAGTGCTCACTGGAAGGACAGATCCTGAAGCTGAGACTCAAATACTTTGGCCACCTCATGAGAAGAGAAGACTCCCTGGAAAAGACCCTGATGTGGGAAAAGATGGAGGGCACAAGGAGAAGGGGATGACAGAGGACAAGATGGTTGGATAGTGTTCTTTAAGCTACTAACAAGAGTTTGACCAAACTTCCAGAGGCAGTGGAAGACAGGAGTACCTGGCGTGCTCTGGTCCATGGGGTCATGAAGAGTCGGACATGACTAAATGACTAAACAACAACAACCAGTTGTTCTTAACACATGAACCAGAAGACCCTGCGCACTGTCAAAAAATTCTTCAACAATACATTGAAAGAATATTAGCACACCTTGCACCCATGCTGGTTTCCTATATTTGGCAAAGCCAACCATTTAATCTGAAGTACAAACCTGCCAAAGAACATATTCCTGCTCATATTGGTGGTCTCACAAAGTTTGGGGATAATATTGAAGATGAATGGTTTATTGTATACCTTATCAAGGTAATTACAAAAGAGTTTCCAGAATTAGCAGCCAGGGTGGACGATAAGGATCATGCAAATACGGCCGGCGGTCAGCCTGGCACCCCCTGGCAGGCGGTGTTCGCATCCCTGACGCGCGGGTTTATGCGATCAGCGGGTGGCCGAGTGCTAAAAGAAACTCCACAACTTTGGGGTATCCTCCCTTTAAAAAAAGCTCAGCAGCTCTGGGCAACGTTCCCAAAAATTGCAATGTGGGGGGTGACAAAAAAAATTCACACCGGGTACCACCTGACCTTGCTACGCCTCTACTCAAGAGACAATGTTGCAGAAGCAGTGGTGCAAACGATAGAGCCACAGGAGGGGAGTGTTCTCCTGTGCTCAGATCCTGCGTGTGGGTTTTCCACAGGCATCTGGTTGGCCACTGTGAGAGAAGGATGTTGGATTAGATGGGCCATGGGCCCGATCCATCAGACTCCGGTTGTGTAAGGATGTTCCGTTGTGCTATGCATAGAATGGGGTTCCCACTCACAGACCCACTTTTCACGCAAACGGGCTGCTGCAATTGGAGATTGCCCTACACTTTCTCCTGCTTTCTGGAAACCCCAAGCACCAGTTCCCAAACAGACTGGCAGGTAAATGGCATGAGAATGCCACCTTGGCAGCAGCGCACAGCTCTGTTGAGTCCCCAAGAAATTCCTTCAGCTGTCAGGCTGTCACAGCCGAGCCAAGCATTATTCTGCTCAAAGACACAGTCCTGATTAACACCTGGGCTGTCACTCTTCCTTACCTGGGAGGGAAGCAACAGGCTTGTTCGGCAGCTGTAGAGGTTAAAATGAAGAGAAAGGTCCTGGAGGAATACTTGCCATTATGCCTGTGTGGCTGCAAAAGCAGACAGAGCATTTAATGCCTCCCCCTCCCTCCCCAAGCCCATTTCTCTTGGGCACGCTGTCGGAGATTGTTAAGACAGGGCTCATAGAAATAACGGAATAGCAAATGAAGGAAGTTCAGAGTTGCCATGATGAAAACAAGAGGTAGTAATGAACAATTTATTCTGGTGAGCCGAGTCACAGGGGATGGCCGATCTGCTGGATAGATGAGATTTTAGGAGGAGCTGCCTGCATAGCTTTGCCACCATGAGGGGAAGAAACCTAGGTTGGGAGGACTTCCGGGTTGGCGCCTCTGGCAATGGCGGATTTCCTCCGATCGGGAGGAATCCGCTCCGTGGAAAACAGGGTCTGAACCGCCACGGCGAGGCGGAGACCCATCAAAAACCACAGGCAGGAGAAGCCTGTGGACGTGGGATTCGGCCGGCACCTTTGCGCCCCCCCTACTCGCGGGGAAACCCGATTTCGGGGTTCTGGAGCGACGTGGGGTGAGTAGTGCGGTGCCTTGAATCGACTGCTTCTTTCACGGAGTGAAGCCGCATTGCTGTTGCCGGAGAGCGCTGACTTTTTCCTGTGGACAATTGGAGCTTAAATAACTGTCCGTGAGTAGAACGGAAAATTGGAATAAGAAATTTCTTTTAATTTGGCACTGAAGCGGGAAGGTATAAACAGGAAGTCTGCCTTCTGCTTTTTGTAAATAGATTGAAGCAAAGACACAGCAAGCTACAGCTTAGAAAATCGTCTGTAAAGGATCAATTTTCATCATTTAAAATTACTGAACCCCCCTTGGAAGCAGGAGAAGAGGGGGATCTTTTTCTGGACTGATTAAACTTGTAGAAGACAAGTAAAGAAAAGCAATTCTCCACCGTCCTGAACCTGGGAGCGGGGTGTCAGGACAGACGTCTTCGGGAAGTTCATTGACTATAGACAAACGTTTTTGACAGATAGTTAAAAGAAGAGAAACATATTGATTCCATTGTTCCCATTCGCATCTAAAAGGAACAAAATATTGACAAAATATCTGAAAAAGGAAACTTTGTTGTTAGATTTGCTTTAAAAAAAAAGATAGAGATGGATACAAATAGAAGCTTTTCCCCCTAGAGGGAGCTTGTGAAACTGTTATTAAATCCGAACTGGGGAGCTTTGCAGCTGCAATAGATTAAGATTGTGGGACCAGACTTTGACCTTCAACAAGAATGTACTCAGAGGCTCTGGTGTTGGCTTTTTGTAAGACAAGTGCTTTATTGGAACAGTTACATGAGAAGATGGATTTGATGACTGTTGGGATCGGAAAGTTTGGACAGGCAGTGGGTACCTATATAGAACCCACTCAGGAATTAATTCAGGAGTGTGCTTTGACAGATCAGATGAGGGAGGAGGTTGTTGCTGGACCTAGTGAGGCAGAGATGGAGGGAACTGTGGCCCAGCAGGAACAGGAGTTGTTGGACTTGACAAATGAACCTGGAAAAAGCCATATTTGGAGAGACAGAGTTCTGTTTGGCTTGGAAATGGGGGGCTGGATAGACCCCCCTATGCAGGGATGTTTTGACCTTTCAAGTCTGGCTTTGGGCCAGGAGGCGTTCGGAGTTGTGCAGGCCCTTAATTTTGGAGGGACTTTGAAACATGCTTTTAAATACCACATGGAGTTCAGTGTTGACTTTGGAAAAGGGGCTGATCTGTCGAGAAGGGACAAAAACATTGTCAACCTGGAGTCTCCCTGCATGGAGGAAGTACCTGGTTTCCAGTTCCTCCAAGTTCTTATATTGTTGTTGTTGTTTAGTCGTTTAGTCATGTCTGACTTGGTGACCCCATGGACCAGAGCCCCTGTCTTCCAGGCCCTCCTGTCTTCCGCTGCCTCCCGCAGTTTGGTCAAACTCATTTTGGTCGCTTTGAGAACACTGTCCAACCATCTGGTCCTCTGTTGTCCCCTTCTCCTTGTGCCCTCCATCTTTCCCAACATCAGGGTATTTTCCAGGGAGTGTTCTCTTCTCAAGAGGTGGCCAAAGTATTGGAGCCTCAGCTTCAGGATCTGTCCTTCCAGTGAGCACTCAGGGCTGATTTCCTTCAGAATGGATAGGTTTGATCTTCTTGCAGACCATGGGACTCTCAAGAGTCTCCTCCAGCACCATAATTCCAAAGCATCAATTCTTCGGCGACCAGTCTTCTTTATGGTCCAGCTCTCACTTCCATACACCACTACTGGGAAAACCATAGCTTTTACTATACGGACCTTTGTTGGCAAGCTGATGTCTCTACTTTTTAAGATGCTGTCTAGGTTTGTCATTGCTTTTCTCCCAAGAATATAAACCTCGCCCCCCACAATGCTTTGCCTTATGAGACTTCTTTGTGGGTGTTAGGGCCACGAGGGTAGCTCAGAGCACCTGTTTTGCATGCAGAAGGTCTAAAGGTTCAATCCCCAACATCTCCAGATAGACCTTGGAATGTCTCCTGCCTGACACTCTAGAGAGCTGCTGTCAGCCAGTGCTGACATTACTGGGCTAGATGAGCCAATGGTTTGACTCGGCATACGGCAGCTTCCTCTGTTCCTTTGATGGAGAAAACATTTGTGAACAGCTGTCACAGACCATGAGCAGTGTGGCTCATAACCTGAGGCAGTATGAATAATGCAAACAAAATGCCTCTCATCGAAACAGGAAGTGGGTTTTGTCCATACTGTGACACCAGGCAGTACAAATGCCAATAGCTGACAGTTTCATACACCTTTCATATTCTGCATAATAATATCCAAAGCACCATCTGGTGTCCATAGATGAGGGCTCCTGAACTCAACACACGAATTCTTACAGCAGTATTGATGGAACTGGATATTTTCCACGATTTTCAATAAGTTTGGCAGAGAGGTGCCTTTTCTTTCTTTTTTTAACTTCCTAAGGAACAGGTCCCAGAATTAAAATTAGAAATAGCGATTTGGAATGAGTGGCTTAGGAAGAATAAAGCCCTCTACCCTTTGGTAAGGTGTCCCAATTACTGCACGAGATGAGCCAAACTCCCCTTTGAAATCTGGCTCTGTTTGTAGTCAAGTTGCCGCGCCAATTCCTCTTTTACAGCTCCTTTCCCAAAATCATCTGTGGAATTGGGGGCAGGGAGGGGGGAGGATGGCAGTCAAAAACATTTGGGGCAGTCAGTGGCCCATTTTTAGCTTCCAAGTGTTGGTAAAAAATGTAGACTTTGGGGGAATCTTTGGCAATAGGGCGAAGGAGGAGAGCAAGTGGAAGGTTAGATATGGCAGAGGCCTGGCAAAGAAGCTTCAGATTGATCTTTGCCTTGATCTCTAGTGGGTAGGAAGTCCAATGGAGCTTTCCCTTAGTATTCTGAGAAAGACTTGGCCATCTCAGAAGAGCCTGTGGGGTCAGGCCAATGGCCCATGTAGCCCATCCAGCCTCACATTGGCCAACTAGATGCCTGTGGGAACTCTACTAGCAGGAGCTGAGCACTGCAGCCCACCTGCAGATTCCCAGCAACTGATATTTGGAAATATCACTGCCTTCCAACCATGGGGGCAGAGCATAGCCATCATGGCTAGTAGCCACCAATAGCCTTAAGCAGCTCAGGACCGCAATACCTCAAGGACTGCCTCTTTCCATATGAACCTACCCAGACCCTGAGATCATCTTCTGAGGCCCTCCTTTGTGTGCCTCCTCCTCGAGAGGTGCAGAGGGTGGCGACACAAGAACGGGGCCTTCTCTGCAGTGGCTCCTCATCTGTGGAATGCTCTCCCCAGGGATGTTTGCCCGGCACCTTCATTATACACCTTTGGCGCCAGGCAAAAACGTTCCTTTTTAACCAGGCCTTTGGTTGATCTGTTTCACATCCTATACCCTTTTAAAATGTGGCTCTTTCCTGGGGTGGGGGGTTATTGGGTTGTTGTTTTTATTCTGATTATATATATTGTGATCTTTTCTGTGAACCACCCTGAGACCTCCGGGTTTAGGGCGGTATATAAACTCAATAAAGCATCACCATCATCACCACCTCCTCCATGAATTTGTTCAATCCTCTTTTAAAGCTATCCAAGTTGGTGATCATCACTGTGGGGTTGAGTTCCTCAGTTTAGCTATGTCCTGCTGTGTACTCCTTCCTTTCATCTGTCTTGATCTTCCAACATTTAGCTTCATTGGATGACTATGAGTTCTAGTGTTATGCATCCAGCTGTTTCCTCCACCTCTATGTCAAGAGTCTTGGCCTTTTCACATTGTTTGTGACGATGATATCTACCTTCATCTTGATGGCTCACAAAGTCATGATGGTCTGCTCTCTGCTGTCGTAAGGAAGAGCAGGGTTTCAACCCAGCATTTGCCTCCTTGTGTTGTGTTGTTGTTGTTGTTTCTGTGCTGGCAGTGCAACAATAAGACACTGATCCTTGACGGAGGTTTCCGTTACAACTCTGACACAGATTATAAATAACACCACTTAGACCCTATCCTATTATTTGCAAATGTGTCTCATATGTTCCACATCCTTGATCCGTGAGAATCCTTAATTCCAAAGTTGCCTGTGGTCGTACGGGCCATTAATTACACATTTGCATCGAAGACACTTTCCGTGTGCAATTAATAATTCATCATAAGAAGGTGCCTCGCCATTTGTAAACAAACAAGGAGATTAGCTCCCTGAATGTGGCTAGAAATCTCTGTACGAGGCGCCGGGATTGTGAACTGCCGTGGTAGGCTCATCTGGAATGCCAAAAACCAGCAGCCCATTCAAAGAAAAGCAACGGGTCTTAATTTCCCCCACAATGACTTGTCTGCTCATTGTCATTTCACAATTTGTGTTCAGGTGCCACGGGTCAAAGAGATTTAAAATAATTACACCAAGGATAATCATGGGAGAAGCTGTTTGCAATCTTCTCTTTGGAAGCACACATAGGCAGCGGCATCAGAGCAAGCGTACCCTCTATTTTCTGCCATCTTTTCTGCGACCCTTTCTCTGGAGATTAGAGAATACTGCTCCTCCAACCAGCACTCAGGGAGAGCCATTTGTGGCAGTATCAGGATAGAGGTAATCTGAGTTGATGCTGCAAAATGTGTGCGCACTTCCACAAACTTCTGGTTTCTCTGGTATGCACCTAACCCACTCATAGTTGCAAGGAATTATTCTTCCAGCCACCTCAGAGCCTGAGTAGGAAACTTTTCAGCCTGTCCACAGATCGGCATTGTGTGGGACTGGGAAATTGGCAGGTCTGACTACAGAATACAGCACTCATTGCTTCCCTGATCTAGCCGCTTTCTGACACATTGATGAGGCTGCTTTTGCTGCCATGTCACTCGTACTCATAATGTTTGTGGTCAACTGTTATTCCTAGACTTTCACATGTACTGCCTCATACCTCAAGTGCTCACAAATTGAACTCTATGCAATTTTTGTCCCCATATATTTACTCTGGAGGTGCTATCATGGGAACAAACAACACCAACGACCACACCATCAATATATCCATTTGTACATCTTCTAATGTGATGAGCCATCCTTGATCAACTCCCAGCAAAGCTTTTCTGCCATTTGCAAAGGGAAGGAGTGAAGAACCTTCTTAGACTGAAGGCCACAATCCCCCTTCTGTGAAACCTTCTGAGGGCCACATGCCAGCAACAGGTAAGGTGACAGACAAATATGGCCAGAGCAACAAATGAAAATGCTTGTGTAGTATGCTAGTTTCAACACACACCAATGCACACCCCTCTATTCCCCATCCAGTCAACCGAGAGGCATTATGGGAATTCAAGGACACATTCCAGACAAGAAAAAAATAATGAGCCAGGATGTATGAAGTAGGGTTGGTGAGGGGTGTGGCCTGGGAAGAGGAGGTGTGGCTAAAGAGGTGTGTTTGCTTGGAGAGAGTTTCAAGGACCAGAAACAAAAGTCTGGAGGTCTGCCATTGAACTCCAGCCCTGAGGTGTTCCATCATAAGCCAAAGAGGTCAGTCTCTATGCAAGAGAATCAGTGAACGCAAACTGGGCACAAATTGGGTTACAATCCGAAGCAGTGGGATATTCTTGAAATAAAGAAGTCCCCCTCAAACTGTTATATTCCAACCTATAAGTTTCAACGAGAGATGCCACCATGAAACTGATTTGGAATTCATTAGCAAACTTGACACATTGGAACTTGATCCCAAGAAAACCTGGGAGTGGCTGGTTTATCACTTTCAGTTTTTATTTACATTATTGATTGTGCTATACCCATTCATCATTATCAGTGGCCACCAGTCAGGAGAGAGTCACACACACACACCCCACCCACTGATGGGATATTTTATTCATTTGACTTGATTTTGTATTCATTTGGGCTCTGAAAACATTTTGTCACTCCTGTGGTGTCCTGCATTACTTGAACTTTCAGTCTAAATTTATAACACAAACACATATACCTCCTCCTCCTTCCACCACCAACAATTCATATGGCTTTAAAAGAAGAGTAGTGAAATTCATAAGGCTAACAATGGTTACTTGCTTTTGAATTATGGTGCTGGAGGAGATTCTTGAGAGTCCTATGGACTGCAAGAAGATCAAACCTATCCATTCTTAAGGAAATCAGGCCTGAGTGCTCACTGGAAGGACAGATCCTGAAGCTGAGACTCCAATACTTTGGCCACCTCATGAGAAGAGAAGACTCCCTGGAAAAGATCCTGATGTTGGGAAAGATGGAGTGCACAAGGAGAAGGGGACGACAGAGGATGAGGTGGTTGGACAGTGTTCTCAAAGCTACCAGCATGAGTTTGACCAAACTGCGGGAGGCAGTGGAAGACAGAAGTGCCTGATATGCTCTGGTTCATGGGATCATGAAGAGTCGGTCACGACTAAATGACTAAACAACAACAACAACATGGTTACTAAACATGGTGGTTGTGTTCTACAGCTTGTGGACTCCCCTTCCCCAAAGTAAATCTCTTGACAACTGTTCTGTTGTAAAGTCGTTTCCCAAAGTTTGTTCTCACACTACACAATAGGTAATGATGGAATTGAGGTGGGGACATGTTATGCTAGCACAGAAATGCATGGAGGGGGAGAGATATAAGCAGGTTTCAAATGTGTCAATGCCTCCTCCCCAGAATTCATCTTCTAAAAATGCTTTGCCTACCTAGGAAAAAGCCAATCACACAGTTAAAGCACCATCCAATTTCTTCTGTGCATTTAGTCACAGCAGACAGCTCCATATGAACCACTGTGGGTGCTTGTTGATTTTCAGCAATGGGTGAATGACATTTCAGCATCCTAGCAAGCTCTGAATATGTCAAACAAACCCATCAAACATCCCGATTACTCCCATGGCGATGACAACCCTCTTGAATGTCAACATTCTTTTAAAATTTACATTTCATTCATTTCTGTATATATTCTGAGGGCAAACATGAAGGACAGGAGGGGTACAGTAGAGTTACATAGTTCCATCTGAGAAGTGACAGTCAGGAAGATTGTCATCCTGGAATATTCTGTAGATACTCAATGGAAGTCTGGTTGGTGGTGGAGGAAAGTAATGCTATATTTTATCATTCCCATGATATCCCCAGGGAGTTTTATCCAATGTTGCATTCTACTCACACAACAATCTCTTGCTTGTGCAATGGATCTCCCCCGCCTCTCCACAACATCCCCCTTTGCACCCTCAAATTCTGCCCCATGGGGTTGTGGGTAGTGCTTCAGAGTAGATGTTCTAGCTGAGGAGAATTCCCTCTTCTCATCTCCCAGAAATCATTGCCCCCACCCCAAATTATTTATTTCTATGACAGAGGAAGTTAAGAACCAGGTTCTCAAAGATGAGCAACAACAGCAGGGACGTGTTCAGATTAACTGCAATGAAATTCAGAGTGATAAATGTATTAACTGGTCTCTTGACACTGTAGGTGGTAGTTGATTGTGTCCATTTTTGTCAAAGCAAACCAACTCAGGGGTTGTAGCTTGGCATGAAGGAGAAATTCAATTCAATACACATTCAAAGCTGAATCTATCAACTCCACACTTCCAGAAACAATACATGAACGCAGCTGTCCTTTGAAATTCACACTTATCTGAATTTTGCAATGCAGTACTCCAACCAAAGGGTGTTTACAAAAATGCATATTCTAGGTTCAAGAGTGCCAAAAAACGAGTATCTTTGTGAAAGTAGCGTAGAGAAATGTGTTATATTGTTCACAATATAAACTGTTTGGGAAAATGTGTACCTTAGTCAAAAGTGCATACATTTTTTTAATTAGGAAAATTTCAAACTAAAATACTGATGAATTGTCACGAAGACTATTTTTTGAAAAAAATATATCAAATTGCTGCAAAATGGAGAACTGAAGTTTAGATTGGGGAAAAATAGGGAAATGAGAGAACTGGAATTGACATAACCTTCCATCCCTAGACTGCATCCAAGGCTGCATGAGAGGATTTCTGCTTGGGCAACCTTGGATGCAGCTTTGAAAGATATCCTGAAGAGCTCAGATTGATGGACAGAGATAAGATTTGCCTTCTGCTTCCTGAGCAACATAAACACTTTACCTGTAGAGTACCTTTGTTTGCTTTCATACAAATGGAAACAATCAATTACCGTTTGCTGTCGCAAAAAGCATTTAATATCATTATCACTCAGGATTTAATTACACTTTACTGCAATCTGAATATGCCCCCATTTGTTGTCCATCTTTGAACAGCTGGTTCTTAACCACCTCTGTCTTGTAGATAAAATGTACGAGACTGCTTTAAATGTACGTTCTGAAGGTGACATTGTCTCCTTCTGCAAATGAACTTCTGGAAACATAAGAGATCCTGGCATTCTAAGTTCCATTTGATAGGGTTGCCGTATTCCAACAAGTGAAAATTCAGACGGAAAAGTTGTTGAGCTTTCTTTGGTGAAGTTATTGAGCTGTTTTTCGCGATTTCCGCCTGGACCCTGTCTCCGACATCCAACATAGGGCAACCCTACATTGGGTAGCTTTATGCAGCCCAGCATAAGGCTTAAAGCCTAAGTCTTAAAACTGTCAGAGGCGCATCTGCAAAAATACACAAACCAAGCCCTGCCTCCACCCACACCAATCACTAATGGAAACGTTTCAACATGGATGTAAAGCGTGCCTAGAACATCCCTGCATGGAAGTTTAGCCTTGCTCAAAACAGAGGACAGCACTAATGTAATATTGTATAATTATACTGCTAAATTACACCTTGAATTATTGATGTAATATTGACCCATTTAGTATAACCTTAATAACCAATTCCTAGCATACACCACTTACAAGTTAATACACCCTAACAAGGGATTAACCGAAGAGTAGACGGAACTATAAATTTGGCCTCTGTATCACTCTATGTTTTATTAAAATCCATTACATTCTTTCTGTGTGCGCAAGGTCAGAGACTAAGAGGTATCCACCATTAGTTCAACCACATTATCAGGGAAATAAGAACAGGCTGAGGGGTTCATAGTGCCTTTGTCTTCAAATAAAGTACTTTGCGACTGGCAGCAAGAGTTCTGAAGAGGACACTGTGCTTTAACACGGAGGAGGGTTCACGACCAGTGTTCCACTCTGAGAGGCAATATGCCTCAGACTACCAGATGCTAGGAATCAAAAATGGAGAGAGAGAGTTATTATGATACGGCCCTGATTGAGGGTTTCCTGGGGTGGCTTCCATCAAAATATAAAAAATAATAAAATGTCAAACGTTAAAAGCTTCCCTTGAACAGGGCTACCTTCAGATGTCTTCTAAAAGTTGTGCAGTTCTTTATCTCCTTGACATCTGATGGGAGGGCGTTCCACAAGGTGGGTGCCACTACCAAGTAGGCCTTCTGCCTGGTTCCCTGTAACCTCACTTCTCGCAGTGAGGGAACTGTCAGAAGGCCCTCGGAAGTGGACCTCAGTGTCCGGGATGAACGATGGGGGTGGAGATGCTCCTTTAGGTTTGTTTCCTCTCGTGCTTAACCAATACCCATCACAGGTAAAGGTAAAGGTAAAGGTAAAGGGACCCCTGACCATTAGGTCCAGTCGTGACCGACTCCGGGGTTGCGGCGCTCATCTCACTTTATTGGCCGAGGGAGCCGGCGTACAGCTTCCAGGTCACGTGGCCAGCATGACTAAGCCACTTCTGGCGAACCAGAGCAGTGCACGGAAACACCATTTACCTTTCCGCCGGAGCGGTACCTATTTATCTACTCGCACTTTGATGTGCTTTCAAACTGCTAGGTTGGCAGGAGCAGGGACCAAGCAACGGGAGCTCACCCCGTTGCAGGGATTCGAACTGCCAACCTTCTGATAGGCAAGTCCTAGTCCACCCGTGTCCCTATGCCCATCACAGAGTCACGGTCTAATCTAGCTGCTGGGCAATGGCGGGTAGAGCAAGGCCAGTGCTGGATCTAGGTTTTTATTTTTAAAAATAATAATAATAAGAAATTTTTATTTATACCTCGCCCTTCCCGGTTCAAAAACCGGGCTCAGGGCGGCTAACAACAAATTTAAAACATTTTAAAACACTTAATTATAAAAGCAACATAAAATACAGTATAAAAACATGACTAACAATAAAATTCAAAAATCAATTAGATAATCCCCAGGGCTAGCTGGCTGAATTGGTCCTACTTGGGCCAGCAAGGTGGTCAGGGAAGAATTAGCTGTGGGGTCTCAGAGCGAGTGATCTTCATAAAAGGGGAGGGGGAGGGAAGAGAAGGGAAATAAAAGATCAGGCTGAATTCAAATTAAAGGCCAGGTGGAATGGCTCTGTCTTACAGGCCCGATGGAAGGAGGTTAAATCCTGAAGGGCCCTAGTCTCATGGGACAGAGCATTCCACCAGGTCGGAGCCATCACTGAGAAGGCCCTGTCCCTGGTGGAGGATAGTCTGACTTCCTTAGGTCCCAGGACCTCTAAACTATGGTTATTCATGGACCTTTTGAGAAAGGGAGCGGTCTGTGATGTTAATGGCTACAAGCCAGGGTGGCTATGTTGTTCCCCTACTTTCTGAGGCAGTATGCCTCTGAATACCAGTTGATGGAAATCACCAGTGGGAAGAGCACTGATGCACTCTGGTCCTGCTTGTGAGAACAGGATGCTGGACTTCTTATGTGTTAAGTATAACTGGTTTAATTCATACTGAAATGGGAATGCCTGCGTCTATTGGGCTTAACTGGAAGATTCCACTGAAGCTAAACTAAGAGCAAAAAGAACTCTCTAAGCTGCTTTGATGGATTGATATTTAAGTGTTATTATTCTCAGGTAGCTCTGACATAGTGTTTTAACCTTAGATCACACGAGGTGTGTTGAACTGCAAATCCGCCATCTTGGAAGGGTGCTGGCTGGAGTCTTTTATTCTCAGGCTCTGCGAGAGCGAGGATGTAAATGAAGCTCTCCAGGAAAACAGCTCCGAGCGGAATGGATGCTGTAAGGAGAGACACCTTTCCTTCTAGGTCTGCTGGAATTATTTCGTATTTTGTAAGAACTGGAACTGTTTGGATGTCCCGTTTGATGTTTCTGTTCTGTTTTGAAGAAAGTTCTGCAAGTAAAATTCCAAATGATATCTAATGGGTCTGGGTAATTCATCATTTCAAAAGGAGTCAATTTTTGTGTATCCAGTCACTTCAAACGGCACAATATTAATGTGTGCAATATTATGTTCTTAGGGCCAGATGTGCATTTTGCCTGATCCAGCAGGGTTCTTAGACTGTTATGCTTACAAGGCAGCAAGCACACATGTGCAATACTGAAACTTTCCTCAGGCATTCATCTGCGCCTATGGGGAGCACTGCATACAGAATCAGGAGTAAAGGGGGCATACAAGGTATGCCTCCAATGTCCCCACATGCATGGGCTCCCATCATACCAATGCATGTTGAGCATTGAGGTCTGAAAGAGGCTTTTACGTGCATTCTGGTGAATGTACCTTGCAATGTCTGCAACACTGGGAAACCCATCTTATCGGGTTTTCCAGTTGCACAGAGTCTTCTAAGCATCCTCAGCTATTTGCTTTTCTGTGGACATGGGGAGATTTTCTCAGAGGTATAGGGGAGATGTCATGGTGTTACCAAGGAGGTTGTGTAAATTGGGGGCATCATTCCTGGGCCCAGAAGATAAAGGCTTTCTTATTCTTCCTTTGGTTATCAGCCAGAAACATTTCTCCTGTAAGGAGAGGAAGAGGAGCAGGGAAATGGCAGTGAAAAACAGAAGCAGACCAGGGAACAAAGATGTACTGAACAACATTCAAAACTATACAAATGTTCTGTGAAGTGAGTGTTTTTTGTTTTTTTTAAAGGCCATTCATTTAAGAAGGCCATTGTTTTTTCAACAATTGCTGTATATTTATCTATCCCCTTTCTTCCATGACTGAATTCAAGATTGTGTAGATAAAAGTTCCTGGGGAACTTCATTATACACCTTTAGGCACCAGGCAAAAATGTTCCTCTTTAACCAAGCTAATTGACATCCAATAACCTTTTAAAGTATGTTGGGGGTGGTGAGGGGTTATTGGGTTGTTCATGTTTTTATTATGCATTTTGTGTTTTCATTTTGTGATTTTATGTTGAGGACCGCCCTGAGATCTGTGGCCATAGGGTGGTACACAGAAATAATAATAATAATAATAATAATAATAATAATAATAATAATAATATCCTGCCCTCCTGGCCAAGGCTGGGTTCAGAGTGGCTAACAACATAAAAACCACACAATATGCATAAAAACAGACACTAATTAATTAAAATACATCTTAACATTAAAATTAATTAGGTACCACTCCGGCAGGAAGGTAAATGGTGTTTCCATGCACTGCTCTGGTTCGCCAGAAGTGGCTTAGTCATGCTGGCCACATGACCCGGAAGTTGTCTGCGGACGAACGTCGGCTCCCTCGGCCAGTAAAGCGAGATGAGCACCGCAACCCCAGAGTCATTCACGACTGGACTTAACTGTCAGGGGTCCTTTACCTTTTTAGAGCCTGGGCTGGAGGATAGGAAGTCCCTGGTTTGAATCTCTGGCATCACCTCAGTGGTGGAGCTTCAAGCTCCTGCGGAGGGGGTGGAGAGCAGGTGGGGGCATGGCTGGCACACTTCCCAGGGGCATGGTGCACCATCCGCAGGGGTGTGGCATGCGTCCTGGTGGCATGGAATGCTGCCTGCAGGGCGTGGCGCCCAGCACAGGGGGGCAGCCGCAATGGCACCTCACTGGGATCATGCCACTGGGGGCTGTGCGCTCCCCCCGCACCCCTGTTCCTCCGCAAGTGCATCACCTCAGTAGGTGGCCGTAAGCATATATAAGCAAGCTCTTTTCTCTTTCAGCCTCAGTCCCTGCATCTGAAAAATGGGTATAATAAATATCAAACTAGCAATACCAGAAAGCAGGGTGTTGTTGCAAGAATCACCGACATAACGTACAATATTTTGAACATCTGAGGACATGTAAGTACTAACAATTACCACCATTACTTTCAAAGCTACTATTACCATTTAATTCAGATCATAATGCAGCATGATTTTGTGGTGTTCATCCTTTTGTGGGGCAAGAGTCATCCTTTTCATTTGTGTCATTGGATGAACACCTTTGGAATTTTTTGTCCTATTTATTTTCTTCCATGTACAGTGGTACCTCGGTTCTCGAACGTAATCCATTCCGGAAGACCGTTCAAGTTCTGAAACGTTCGAAAACTGAGGCACAAAGGGCTGTCTGCAAATTCAACTGAGAAAACTGAAAAACATGCAGCGGAAGCCGTTCGACTTCCAAGGCGCTTTCGAAAACAGAAGCATTTACTTCCGGGTTTTCGGAGTTCAGGTTCCAAAACATTCGTTAACGGAGATGTTCCAGAACCGAGGTACCACTGTATTTTGGTTTAAATGATTGACAAGCTGGTTGGTATTTTATACATATACAAGTCGCTTTGAGACATCTTTTGTAGCAAATGATGGCTAAATGCAACACATAACGATGGTGATACTAATACCAATACAGTGGTACCTCCGATTACAGATGCTTCAGGTTAAAGACGCTTCAGGTTAGAGACTCTGCTAACCCAGAAATAGTACCTCAGGTTAAGACCTTTGCTTCAGGATGAGAACAGAAATTGTGTGGCAGTGCAGCGGCAGCGGGAGGTCCCATTAGCTAAAGTGGTACCTCAGGTTAAGAACAGTTTCAGGTTAAGAACGGACCTCCAGAATGAATTAATCCAACAGAACACCTGCTTGTTTTACTCCAGGGTGGGGGAAAATTAATACCTGCCAGCTTATGCAGTCTTCACCCGCTTCACTTTCATCATTATGCTACTAACAACTGATAAACATGGAAATAAAACTAGGAAGACTATACCAACATCAGAAATATGAAGGAACCTTATGGGATCCACCTACTTCAGACCCACCTACTACAGCAGCCTCCTACTCACAGTGGCCAATCAGGTGCCTCTAAGAAGTTGACAAGAAGTTGAGAAGCAGGGCATGAAGGCAACAGCTCCTTTCATTGTCCCTCCCTAGCAACTGGCCCCTAGGGGCTGCTGGTGAGTTTTCCCTAAGAGTTTTCTGGAAAAGCTCATAAACACCGAACCTACTCTATAATCTAGAGGGACGCAGGTGGCGATGTGGGTTAAACCACAGAGCCTAGGACTTGCCGATCAGAAGGTCAGCAGTTCGAATCCCCACAACGGGGTGAGTTCCCATTGCTCGGTCCCTGCTCCTGCCAACCTAGCAGTTCGAAAGCACATCAAAATGCAAGTAGATAAATAGGTACCGCTCTGGTGGGAAGGTAAACAGCATTTCCGTGCGGTGCTCTGGTTCGCCAGAAGCGGCTTAGTCATGCTGGCCACATGACCCGGAAGCTGTACGCCGGCTCCCTCGGCCAATAAAGCGAGATGAGCGCCTCAACCCCAGAGTCGGTCATGACTGGACCTAATGGTCATTGGTCCCTTTACCTTTACCTTACCCTATAATCTATATATCTATAGATTATCCACCACTGTATCAGAGCAGAATTTGCTCCCCTGATAACTCTTTGGTTAAAGAGGTTCCAAGGTTTCCCAGTTAGCACCTGTGTCCTTGTAATCAAAGGAGCCTGGCAAGTTCAATCACTTGTTTCTACAGCTGTTAACTCATTGAGTGGAACAAGGCATTGTGAGCCGAGATTGTCACCAAATTAAAGCTCAGACTGTTCTCCGTTGCCTTTTTGTTTCACTACCAGTGACATTCAGCTAAGGAACATTCTTTGTGATTAGTCGTCCGTTATATGTAGCCATTGTCACAGAAAGGTATTCACTCCTGAGCTTCAGTAAGGTGGTCAATAAAAGTGTTCACATGAACTTAGGTAAAGGTAAAGGTAAAGGGACCCCTGACCATTAGGTCCAGTCGTGGCCGACTCTGGGGTTGCGGTGCTCATCTCGCTTTATTGGCCGAGGTAGCCGGCGTACAGCTTCCGGGTCATGTGGTCAGCATGACTAAGCCACTTTTGGCGAACCAGAGCAGCGCACAGAAACGCCGTTTACCTTCCCGCTGGAGTGGTACCTATTTATCTGCTTGCACTTTGACGTGCTTTCGAACTGCTAGGTTGGCAGGAGCAGGGACCGAGCAATGGGAGCTCACCCCATCGCGGGGATTTGAACCGCCAACTTTCTGATTGGCAAGTCCTAGGCTCTGTGGTTTAACCCACAGCACCACCTGCATCCCCTCACATGAACTTAGCTTGCACTTAAAAGAAGAGAAACACAAATATGAATAATAGAATCACAGAATTGTAGAGTTAGAAGGGACACAGGAGTCATCTAGTCCAGCCCCCTGCAATGCAGGAATCTCAAGTAAAGCATCCATGACAGATGGCCACCCAACTTGTGCTTAAAAACCAGCAAGGAAGGAGAGTCCACAACCTCCTGATGGAGACTGTTCCACTGTTGAACTGCTCTTTACCGTCAGAAATTTCTTCTTGATGTTGAGTCAGAATCTCCTTTCTTCTAACTTGAAGTCATTGGTTTGGGTCTTACCCTTTTGGAACAGGAGATCTTTTGGAGTGTTCATGCTGTGGGCCCCTCCATCACATGCTCAGTGTCAGGAACATGCCCCCCCCCCACCCAGAGCACAAGGGAAGAGTCAGACTCAGAAATTGAGCTAAGTGGACGAGAGTCCAACTCTGCAGATGAGAGTTGGCTGACAGAGTCAAGAAAGGGCAGTTCAACCCCCCTTCCCGGGGAAGACTCAGTTAGCTCTCAAGGAGAGGAAGAGTTGGAAGGCAGCCAGAGCGTTGCTAGGCAATCAGCAGATAAGCAGAGGTCTGAGACTGTGTAAAGTGGAAGTAGGGAGGGCGGAGGCCAGCCTCTCAGTCCCCATTGTAGAATAAGATCAGAGGGCAATTGAAGGGCGAGAGGGCAAAGGTGGGAGTTTGGCTTCCTTCCTGCTGGGGGTGTGTGTGTGAAGATTCAGACTGACCAACTATCGTCAATGCGAGCAGGCGAGAAACTGTGCTCTGGATGTGGGTTTGCTTGTTTTTGTAAAATAAACTGTCAAGAATGAGCCAGCTCCAAGTGAAGGTTTGCAGCCAATGGCAGAAAGCAGCCAGGAACAGAGAGGGTTAGGTGTTAGTCAGGCAGGGGAGAGCTGGCAGCTGCAGACTTCAGCTCTTCCTGAGCTTGACGGGCAGGCTGATAAGGCAGTAGCTGAGAGCAGGCTGGAACACAGCCAAAGCTCACAGTAAGCACAAAAAGGTGCAAACAAACTCAGAGACAGCCTCTCTGAAAAGTAAGAGGTTGGAGTTGATGCAATAAGTCCATATAGTCAGTGAATGGGAGGGCTGCTAGACAGGAAGCAAAACAAGCGACGTAAGGTGCGAAAGTTCAATATATTCTGTAGACACCAGAGGGAGTCTTCAGAAGGGTCATTGTGAGTAATGATGCTGGAAGCTTTGTTAGAGCCATCTGGAGATATCTGTTTTGGAAATAAATCCTCCTTTTTAATTACCTATGCTTACTGTGTTATCAAGCTGGGAACCTGGACTCCTGACGTAAACGTACATAAAACTGCCGGACAGTCATTACTTCTTATTGGGGCTTGCTTGCCTGCCAGAAGTCATTACACTCAGGTTGTATATATGTGTAAATAAAACCAGTGACAACAAAACGTGTCCGACTAGTTCGGCAACCTCCTCTGTTCAATTCCAACCTTCACTGAGTAAAGGACTCCAGGAACTGGAAGGGAATTGGGACATTATCCAGGCTGAAACACACACAGCCAGCCCCACAATATGAGGAACAGTTTAAAACAACTTACAATCACAGAAATAAGGCAGATCCTAAGAATATACACCTCAAGCCAGGGCAAAGAGGTTTGTAAAAAGAATAATATGTGAGAGATTTTACTTTCTTGGACACCATGATCACTGCAGATGGTGACAGCAGCCACAAAATTAAAAGACGCCTGCTTCTTGGGAGAAAAGCAATGACAAACCTAGACAGCATCTTAAAAAGCAGAGATATCACCTTGCCAACAAAGGTCTGTATACTGAAAGCTATGGTTTTCCCAGTAGTGATGTATGGAAGTGAGAGCTGGACCATAAAGAAGGCTGATGGCCAAACAATTGATGCTTTTGAATTATGGTGCTGGAGGAGACTCTTGAGAGTCCCATGGACTGCAAGAAGATCAAACCCATCCATTCTGAAGGAAATCAGCCCTGAGTGCTCACTGGAAGGACAGATCCTGAAGCCGAGGCTCCAACATTTTGGCCACCTCATGAGAAGACAAGACTCCCTGGAAAAGATCCTGATGTTGGGAAAGATTGAGGGCACAAGGAGAAGGGGACGACAGAGGACGAGATGGTTGGACAGTGTTCTCGAAGCTACCAGCATGAGTTTGACCAAACTGTGGGAGGCAGTGGAATACAGGAGTGCCTGGTGTGCTCTGGTCCATGGGGTCACGAAGAGGCGGACATGACTAAATGACTAAACAACAACAACAAGGTCATGGTTTAGTGGGAAAGTAACTGCATTTCATGCAGAAGGTCTTGAGTTCAATCTCTGGCATCTGCAAAAGACCCTTGCCTAAAAATCCTGGACAGCTGCTGCCAGACAGGGTAGTCAGTATTGAACTAGGTGAGCCAAAGATCTGACTCAGTATAATACAGCTTCCTAGGCTCCTGTTCGTGATTCGGTGACATTCCCCCCTCTGTTTCTGTTTTCACCCTTGCCAATACTGTATATTTAACATTAGAGAGCTACTTGTATTATTGCTTAAACTGTACTGACATCTGGTGGCTCGGAATATTTCAGGATATTAAAACACATACACATGAAATCTCAATCTTTTCTGGCCATCCGTCTTTCTCCAATGACTAGTCCCATCCTTTTCAAAGGGAGAGGCTGCTTGGTCATTCAAACAGGTCAAAATTTCTAGACATTCCCCGCCCGTGAGAAAAAGATTAATGACATCCAGAGAGAGAAAAAGCATTCGATGGACTCAGTTGCTTTCATCCTTGAAGACAACAATTGTGTTAGGATGAATACCTTGGAACATTTTGCATTTTAAAAGAGGCTGATATATATTTTTTTTCTTTTAGCTATTTATTAAATATGGTTTTTTTAAAATAAAAAAGCTTTGTCCAGTATCCAAATATCTGTCCAACTCATTTTGCAAACCCAAGGAGGCCTTCTGCTTGCATTCCTTGAAAGGCAGTCTCCTATATGCCATATGGCAGAATTTCTTTGAAGAATCCAAGGGGATTTTAGAAATGGAAGGGATTTTCATCTGACTTGGCAAATTTGACTGATATTCAAGGAGGAAAGGGGGGGGGATCTGTCTCACTAGGCTATTTGACATATCTATAGCAGCTTCTTGGAGGGCGAAGACTAAAGGGGGAATCATAGAGCAGGGATGAGGAAGCTGTGACCCTCCAGACGTTCCTGAACCATCATCCCTGTCCATTGGCCATGCCAGCTGGGGCTGATGGGCATTGCAGTCCAACAACATCAGGAAAGCCACTGACCAAAATAATATTTTTGCTCTCTCTCATAACAGCAGAAATGTGCATTTGATGTGGATCAGGCCAATTCATACCAGAATTTGCAGAACAAATTCCTCATGTGCCCCCGTTGGACATCATGGGGAATGGGGTGGGCAGGAAGCTAAGTATACATTTAATATAATGTCTCATTAGGCTCTGGGTGTGCCTTCAACTTTGTAAACATCACCATGTAAAACAATTCCCCCATCTACATTCCCATGCATACATACACAGTCTTACCTTGGTTTTCGAACAGCTTAGTTCTCAAACGTTTTGGCTCCCGAACGCCACAAACCCAGAAGTTACTGTTCCGGTTTGTGGGCTATTTGTGGAAGCCGAATGTTCGACGGGGCTTCCGCAGCTTCCGATAGGCTGCAGGACCTTCCTGCAGCCAATCAGAAGCTGCACTTTGGTTTCCGAACGTTTTGGAAGTCGAACGGACTTCCGGAACGGATTCCGTTCGACTTCCAAGGTACGACTGTAATATCCACCCTCTTCAGGAACACAGGAATCCCTGCTTAGCCATGAAGCTCATGGAGTGACCTTGGGGACATCACTGCCTGTCAGCCTAACCTACCTCACAGGGTTGTTGTGGGGGTGGAATGAGGAATGGGAGGACCACATGTGCCACCCGTGGAGAGAGAAAACGGGATATGAATGCAATAAAAAAAAAAATACACTTTCTTGGGCTCCATGATCACTGCAGATGGTGACAGCAGCCACAAAATTAAAAGACGCCTGCTTCTTGGGAGAAAAGCAATGACAAACCTAGACAGCATCTTAAAAAGCAGAGATATCACCTTGCCAACAAAGGTCTGTATAGTTAAAGCTATGGTTTTCCCAGTAGTGATGTATGGAAGTGAGAGCTGGACCATAAAGAAGGCTGATGGCCGAAGAATGGATGCTTTTGAATTATGGTGCTGGAGGAGACTCTTGAGAGTCCCATGGACTGCAAGAAGATCAAACCTATCCATTCTGAAGGAAATCAGCCCTGAGTGCTCACTGGAAGGACAGATCCTGAAGCCGAGGCTCCAATACCTCATGGGCTACCTCATGGGAAGAGAAGACTCCCTGGAAAAGACCCTGATGTTGGGAAAGATGGAGGGCACAAGGAAAAGGGGACGACAGAGGACGAGATGGTTGGACAGTGTTCTTGAAGCTACCAACATGAGTTTGACCAAACTGCGGGAGGCAGTGGAAGACAAAAGTGCCTGGCGTGCTCTGGTCCATGGGGTCACGAAGAGTTGGACACGACTAAATGACTAAACAACAACAACACTGACTGCAGTGGCTCTCCAGGGCTACAAACAGAGAATACTCCCAGCCCTACCTAGAGATATCATTGGGGATTGAACCTGAGACCTTATGAGAAGCTCTGCCATTGCACTATGGTCCTTGTCCATTCTTCATGCAGCTGATGAAATGGACTCTGGGTCATACTGCCATGAACTCATTGCCCTTCAGCTACTTGCTAACTCTTTGTTGATCTTGCTGAAAGAGACTAACATGCCTGTCCTTTGTCAGCTGATAAGAAACAGGAAGATAATCTAGCTGCAGAAGACGAGAGGCGGGAGAAAAATGGGGGGGAGGGAGGGCTCCTTTTAGCAATGAAATTGGCGCCATAAGGGAGGCGGAAGGCGACTCCTTTGGATGGCGAGGCAACTTGCAAGCAGCACAGCTGGACGCCTCATATCGTGTACTCTTTAATGCGTTTGAAGTGTAGATTCCTGAGGAGAAAATTAAAAACAGAGTTGTGGAGGGAAAACCTCATCTATTTCAGACTTCCGCCGAGTTTGGGAATCAGTGGGGTATTTTTTATCCTCTTTTATTTCATGCGGGGCGAGGGAAAAACTTTCTGAGATTTCAGAGTAAGCGCAAAGCGTTCTGCATCTGATATGCTCTGCACGCTTCCCTGGTGATGACTGCTGATCTTAATTAAAACTACAGCTGTTCCACACTAATAACATCCCTTTGATCGTAGTCTAGGAACTCTGGAAGTGGCAAATACACATACCTGTGGGATTACTCCGCTGTCCCACGGCCTTGAGAAATCTCTAGCATAGGGGTGGGGAGCCTCCAGCTTGAATGTGGCCCTCAGGAGCCCCCTCAGGCCACACTAACTCCCCTCAGGCCACAACTGACTGGGTCCCTCGACCTCCTTGAATGATTTTGTCTGGCTGCGGAGGCGGACTTAGGGGAGCATGAGTGGTACACCAACACTGGGCACCAGGTCAAGAGGGTGTTGCAGAGGATGCTGCAACAGTGATAAGAAATGGAACGTGAGAGGTGGGGGGCACCCAATTTTGGCGTTGCACAGAGCACGGCTGAAATTTTAAAGCCCAAAGTCCACCACTGCTGCCTGAACTGTAATGATGTATCTTGCTTGCATGGATAGAGGATGGAGAGATGTGTGTGTACAGGAAGGAGTCTCTGGATTTTGCACCGCTGGGTTGCCTACTGTACAAAGATACGAGTTGCATCTGTTGTTTCATCCACTTTGGCCTCTGATCATGCCCACCAGCGGCATGCCACCAGGGCCACATTTAGGTTTGATGAGGCCCTAAGCTTCTAAAGGTAATGGGGCCCTTTATACAGTGGTACCTCGGGTTACTTACGCTTCAGGTTACAGGCTCCGCTAACCCAGAAATAGTACCTCGGGTTAAGAACTTTGCTTCAGGATGAGAACAGAAATTGTGCTCCGGCGGCGCGGTGGCAGCGGGAAGCCCCATTAGCTAAAGTGGTGCTTCAGGTTAAGAACAGTTTCAGGTTAAGAATGGACCTCCGGAACAAATTAAGTACTTAACCCGAGGTACCACTGTATGTCCAACTGTTCTTTGTCAACAACAAATCATCACTGTTTTTTGTGTTGAATATATGTTATATGGTAATTTATGGACCTAATAGGTATCTCAAGCCATTTGCACATGTTGCCATGCAAGTATTCCATGCAGAATGTAGGCACCCTATATATAGAAAGGAGCAAACCAATGATATTTTAGGGAGCAGGCTAGCAGGTGGGGCCCATTACTGACATCATAGGAGCCTACACAACACAAAACACTGTTGCTGGATGTAGGCTTTATTTTATTTGTTTTTATCTTATATTTTGGAAATGTACATCCAGGGTTTTTTCCTGTATTATTTTTTGGGGGGGGCAAGAGAGTGGGGCCCTAAGCTATAGCCTGTTTAGCTTATACATGAATCCAGCACTGCATGCCACCACCAGAGGGAATCTGGCCCTCAGATTGAAAAAGGCTCCTCTCCCCTATCACCTGGATAGCTCGGTTGGTTAGAGTGTGGTGCTGAACGCCAAGGTTGCAGGTTTGATCCCCGTATGGGACAGCTGCATGTTCCTGCATTGCAGGGGGGTTGGACGAGATAGTCCTCAGGGTCCCTTCCAACTCTTCAGTGTATGATTCCATTATTCCCCTGCTTCAGCTGAAGTTACTCAAATGGAGGTTGTAGGACGTGCATGAAAACCAAGTGGTGAGAAGTCACAAGTGTGGAGAACGCTGGTTCTGTTTGCAAGCTTTCCATGGGCATCTTGTTGGCAACCATGAGAAACAGTATACCTGAAGGAGCGTCTCCACCCCCATCGTTCTGCCCGGACACTGAGGTCCAGCGCTGAGGGCCTTCTGGCGGTTCCCTCATTGTGAGAAGCAAAGCTACAGGGAACCAGGCAGAGGGCCTTCTCGGTAGTGGCACCCGCCCTGTGGAACGCCCTCCCATCAGATGTCAAAGAGATAAACAACTACCTGACATTCAGAAGACATTCAGAAGGCAGCCCTGTTCAGGGAAGTTTTTAATGTGTGACATCTTGGTGTATTTTTAATCTTTGTTGGAAGCCGCCCAGAATGGAAACCCAGCCAGATGGGTGGGGTACAAATATTATTATTATTATTATTATTATTATTATTATTATTATTATTAACAGGATGCTGGACTAGATGGGGCATTAGCCTGATCCAGCAGAGCTCTATTTATGTTCTTATTTCAGACAGGACCACTGCACTTTTAGGAGCAACCTATAAATGCCCTCATCTATGGTCATGGCAGAAAGATCCTTTGCAGCCTCTGGAACAGCCCAGAACCTGCTGGAAATCAAAAATTTCTAACATTATGGAAATATTTTTGCAAATACAGGTTGCATGCTCCCCCCCCCCTTTCGCCAGCCAACCCTACCTCCCAGATATTGCAATTGTTTCTCAGCCCATTACAACCTGCAGGACTCAAGCAATTTCAGGTGGGTAATAGGGGTGGTCATCAGCCAAGCAAAAATCCAATTTGTATAGCCCTTCACTTTATCACCCACCCCTCTTTGGGATACCAGCCTATGCAGCACCGATATGAGCCATCTATAATAAATGACTCAGAGAGAAGAGAGATTAATCATATTTGCAGTTGTTGGTTTCAGAAGGTGAGTCTTCTTGCGGGGTGAAGGGAAAAATTGCCTTGGTGCTACATATTGAGAAGTTTGCACACCTTAAGCCAAGGGATGAAGCACTGAATATATTTTGGAAAATAACTTTGTTTTTTCCCCATTCTGCATATTTTTCAAATGATGTTTAGGAGTGTGCACAGCTTTGCAGCAGAAATACATTGCGCTAGGGCTGCCATACATCCAGGATTTCCTGGACATTGCTGGCATTCGTCTGTCGGAAATAGCATCCGGACAGAATTTCATGAAATCGGTAAAAATGTCTGGGAAAACTCTGGGCATATAGAAGAGTTTATGTTATGGTGACATTGTTTAAAATAGCTCAAAAACTTCAAAAAGGCTCGACAACATTTTGTCTGGATTTTCATTTTTTGAAATATGGCAACCCTACATTATGCTGTTATTATACAGTGGTACCTTGGGTTACATACGCTTCAGGTTACAGGCGCTTCAGGTTACAGGCTCCGCTAACCCACAAATAGTACCTCGGGTTAAGAACTTTGCTTCAGGATGAGAACAGAAATTGTGCTCCATTGGCCTGGCGGCAGCGGGTTAAGAACAGTTTCAGGTTAAGAACGGACCTCCGGAACGAACTAAGTACTTAACCCGAGGTACCACTGTACATATTTTCCACTCCACCTGGGCAGTATTACACATTCCCCAACCAATGTGTTCTCATATCTTCCGATGTCACTTGGAAAATGCATACTGCATAAATGCATACTGCATGGACATATCATCTCTCGGTCTCCTCTTTTCCAGGCTAAACATATCCAGTTCCTTCAACCATTCCTCATAAGGCTGTTTCCAGACCCTTGATCATCTTGGTTGCCCTCCTCTGCACACCTTCCAGCTTGTCAACATCCTTCTTAAATTTTGGCACCCAGAACTGGACACAGTATTCCAGGTGTGCTCTGGCGAAGACAGAATAGAGTGGAACTATTACTTCCCTTGAACTGGACACTAGACTTCCGTTGACACAGCCTTGAACTGCATTAGATTTTTTTTGCTGCTGCATCACACTGTGGACTCATAGATCTCTTTCACATGTACTGATGTGAAGCCAGGTGTCCTGCACCCTATGTTTGTGTACCTGAATATTCCTGCCTAAGTGCAGAACATGGACTGCAAGAAGATCAAACCTATCCATTCTTAAGGAAATCAGCCCTGAGTGCTCACTGGAAGGACAGATCCTGAAGCTGAGGCTCCAATACTTTGGCCACCACATGAGAAGAGAATACTCCCTGGAAAAGACCCTGATGTTGGGAAAGATGGAGGGCACAAGGAGAAGGGGACGACAGAGGATGAGATGGTCGGACAGTGTTCTCGAAGCTACCAGCATGAGTTTGACCAAACTGCGGGAGGCAGTGGAAGCCAGGAGTGCCTGGGGTGCTCTGGTCCATGGGGTCACGAAGAGTTGGACACGACTAAATGACTAAACAACAACAACAAGTGCAGAACCTTACATTTGTCCCTCTTTGAAATTAAAATGTGTTTTATTCATTTTAATTTGTAGTTTTAAATATTCTTAAGTTCAGGGGGAAATAACAAGCAGAGGCACCTTTTGGGACTTCAGGTAAGGGGTCTAGGAGGTTTACAGTAGCAGGGCCAGGCATTCACAGCAAGGCTCGTGGAACCTCCTGCAGGATGATAGGCATGTGAAAATATTTACAGTGGTACCTCGGGTTACATACACTTCAGGTTACATACGCTTCAGGTTACAGACTCTGCTAACCCAGAAATAGTACCTCGGGTTAAGAACTTTGCTTCACGATGAGAACAGAAATCATGCTCCTGCGGTGCTGCAGCAGCAGGAAGACCTATTGGCTAAATGGTGCTTCAGGTTAAGAACAGTTTCAGGTTATGTACGGACCTCCAGAACGAATTAAGTACTTAACCCAAGGTACCACTGTATATATATGAAACTTCTACCATATATGGTGGACATGGCACAAGGCAGAAAACTAGTGGTCTACGATAATTGAGGTGATAAAATAAAATATATCAAATAATCTCTGATATTCTTAATCTGAGGCCTCCTCATCTGAGGGCGCTTTGGAGGGTCGCGACAAGAGAAAAGGCCTTTTCAGTTGTGGCTCCCTACTGGTAGTTACAAAGGATTTCTGGCTCCCAATTCTTTAACAACAGCAACAACAAAATGACTCTCCTCCATACATACACAAATACACATACTACTAAAATGAAGGAAGCTGGGGGAAGGCATACTCAGAAGCGACTTTTTCATTTGGAAGGGCTGTGGATTCAAAGCAAATCCCTGTGGTTAATAATTCTTTGGCACTAGGCTCTCTGCTTGATGGATCTCAGAGTTTTAAGAGAAAAACAAGGAACATCCCAGAAGTCCAATGCTGCCCCAACATTGCTGTACCTAGGGGATTTTGTGGGGAGTGGGGGCTATGCCGACCAGGCTACCGTAGAGGAGTGCTGGCAAAACAGTTTAAGAAAAGTCTCCCTTCCAAAAACAAAATATTTCACCATGCCTGCAATTTCTGAAATGCCTCCCTATCCCCACCCCCACTGCCCATCTTCCACCTAAGAATGGGCTGGCGAATTTTGCAACAACCATGAACCACCATAAGTTAGAGAGATAAGTCTCAGCCTCGAGCCCCATATTTCTTGATTCAAAACCCAGAGTCCCTGACGACATCTTCCATCTTCCATTCGATTTACTTGTCACTTGCTCATCAACAGCAAGCATCCTCATCCGTTCCCCGTCCTCAGTTTTTTCAACTCTAGTTCAGACATTATGTCTGTGGCGCAATCCTGCTTTTTAAACATACTATACCACAATTTTAGTGCTGCTATTTTCATTGAAGGGAGCAGCCTGCAATCAAATGCAGCAGGTTTTGCCTTCGTTTGTCAATCCCTTTTGCGTAAAAAGACAGGGGGAGGGGGGGGAGTGCTGTGTTTCCTGCAACCTAGCAACGCAACTTACAGTTTTAAATACCTGGCAACAAAACAAAATGAAGTTCATTTGGACCTGCGTTTCATTAACACACCGCATAACTTAATGCAATCAAACACAGGTCCATAGCTTCAGGTTGTGCTGGTCTGATATGCAGCAAAATATGATATAAGGAAATAGTTGTTGGGATGCAGCCACGGAATCGGGGGCAATAGGCAGGCCCCCAGCTGGCCCCAGCCCACCGGCTGGTGTGCCGGGCGATCTCCAGTTCTTGGATCAGCATGAAACTGCAACCCTAGCTTCAGAAGCCTTCAGAAGCTGGGCGCACACACTCAGCAGAGTAAATAACACTGCACAACAGAAGTGGCAGGGAGAGGCTGTGTTGAGCATATTTACAAGCAGTTTTTTTCAGCATACACCAGGACAAAAGGAAAAACATGTCTTCCCCCCTTCATGTCCAAAGCAAGCAGCATAAGCAAACGCTATACACAAACGGAAGTTCCCAGCAAGCTGTGCTGGAGTGTAAACAGACATGTGACACACAACAGTCTCATGCCTGTCCCTTAAGGTGGAACGGAATATTCTAACAATAGCATGGGGGCATAGAGATAAGAAGGAGATCCTGCTGGATCAGGCCAATGGCTCATCTAGTTCTTCATCCTGGTCTCGCAGTGGCCATCCAGATTCCTGGGGGAAATCATCAAGTGGGATTCAAGCAAAATACCTTCATCCCCTCCTGTGGTTTCCAGCAGCTGGTATTCAGAAGCATCACTGCATCAAACTGTGGAGGCAGAGCCATCAATAGTAGCCATCGATAGCCCTCCCTCCCATGAATTTGTCTAATCCTCTTTTAAAGTCATCCAAGTTGGTAATCATCACTGCCTCCTGCAGAAGTGAGTTCCACAGTTTACCTGTGTGCTGTGTGAAGAAGCACTTTCTTTTATCTGTCCTGAATTTTCCAAGATACAGCTACAGGGAAGC